ATCAAATCTTGGAAATCACTAGATCTTCTAAGGCCGAGGTTTTTTCCGTCAAAGAAAAACCCCAATCGACCTCGACTGACATGGCCGAACTATGTCACACGCTTACACGATATCTTAGAGTTCGCAATGACCGTAGTCGGTCAAAAACCCCGCGTAGAAGTGCCTCACGTAAGCGATCTGGCTCTCGACCACGAGAGACAGACAATCCCGACTGGTGCTGGTATCATAACCAGTACGGTAAGTTTTCCAGAAACTGCAGGAAACCTTGTAATTATCCGGCCCCAAAATCGAGTGACACGAAAAACAGTTCGGGAAACTTCCCAGCCGGCACGCGTTAACGGCAACCGTAGCCGGCGAACACAGCCGCCTCTTATATGTCACGGATGTGACTACGAAAGTTCGCTACCTCGTCGACACTGGCGCAGAAGTTAGCGTTCTTCCAGCAAATCTCGACGACAGACTTCGCGAGTCTGTTTTAAGTTTACAGGCGGCAAACGGAAAACCGATCGCTACTTACGGTAAAAGGTACGTCTACCTTAACGTGGGTTTACGTAAACCCATACACTGGATTTTCGTGGTTGCAGATGTCTCTATGCCAATCATTGGTATTGACCTGTTACAACACCACAATCTACTCATCGACACACGCTCACGAAGGTTAGTAGACGGAAACACTAAGTTGTCCGTTTGCGTAACTCCTTGTTCTGGTTGCAGGTTATCCCCAGTCACGATTAAGCACGCCATAGACCCCTTGTACCAAGCAGTACTCGACAAATACCCCGGGATATACCAATCGCAATCGAAATTACCTTGTGTAACCAGCAATGTTACACATCACATCTCGACTACAGGACCACCTGTATTTTCGAAAGCCCGAAGACTCGCTCCCGAAAAGCTTAGGTTAGCTAAAAACGAATTCAACCACATGATGGACCTAGGAATAATTCGACCATCGAATAGTCCATGGGCATCCCCATTGCATATGGTCCCTAAAAAGGACAGCAATGATTGGCGGCCAACTGGTGATTATCGGCGTCTGAATGCTAAAACCATTCCCGATCGTTACCCGCTGCCTCATATTCACGATTTGACAGCTACCTTGAAAGGTACAACTGTCTTTTCGAAAATCGACTTGGTTAAAGCTTATAACCAAATCCCGATGGCAACTGACGACATTCCTAAAACCGCCATCATCACTCCCTTCGGTCTTTACGAATTTCTACGAATGCCTTTTGGTTTAAGAAACGCGGCTCAAACATTCCAAAGGTTTATAGACGACGTCTTCCGAGGTCTCAACTTCGTACATGCGTATGTTGATGACTGTCTAATAGCAAGTCCGGACAGAGAATCGCATCTCAAGCATCTGGACATTGTTTTCGATCGACTTCAAAGGCATGGCATTACTGTCAACATTCAGAAATGCCAAATCGGAACTAACTGCTTAGACTTCTTAGGACACACCATTGATGCCCAAGGCATCCGACCCCTTAGGAGCAAAGTGGCGGCCATTCTGGATTACCCAGAACCGACCACGATCAAGCAGTTACGAACTTTTAACGGACTCGTAAGTTTCTATAGACGGTTCATACCTAAATGCGCATCCCTAATGAAACCGTTGACCGATCAGCTTCGTGGAAATGCGAAATCAATTAGTTTAGACGACACAGCCCGTAAAGCATTTTCCACAGTTAAGGAACACATCGCTAAAGCAACCTTGCTTGCTCATCAGGACAGTCAAGCGCCCATTAGTATCGCCGTAGACGCATCCGACTCAGCAATCGGAGCAGTCTTACAACAATGGGTTAACAACTCGTGGCAACCTTTAGGATTTTTCTCGAGACGGTTGCTAGACGCTGAATCTAGGTACAGCACGTTCGGTAGGGAACTCCTAGCTATGTATTGTGCTGTACGGCATTTTCAACATTCCATCGAAGGAAGAGAATTCACGCTCTTTACCGATCACAAACCTCTTACCTTCTCTTTAAGTTCATCTTCAGACAAGTACTCACCAAGAGAGTCTCGACAACTCGACTACATTTCGCAGTTTACTTCAGACATACAACATATTTCTGGAGCAAACAATGTAGTCGCAGACGCCTTGTCTCGAATTAGCTCCTTGAACAGTTTCCAAGGAATCGACCTTCTTAAACTCGCTCAGCTTCAAAAAGAAGACATTGATCTTCATCATGAGTTATCCTCGACAACTCTTAAACTAAGTATTAAGCAGATGGGAACAGGTAAGGAAACCTTACTCTGTGACACATCTACAGGTAGGGATCGTCCAATTGTACCAAAACACTATCGCCGCAACGTCTTCAATACGTTGCACAATCTTTCTCATCCAGGTGCTCGTGCAACAATCGAACTTATAGCCGAACGCTTTTGTTGGCCTGGCATGAATAAAGACGTGAGGGAGTGGGCACGCTCCTGTGTAAGCTGTCAGAAATCTAAGGTAATCAGACACAACAAATGTCCCTTAGGTTCTTTCAAAACCCCTGACGCTCGTTTCGACCACGTCCATCTAGATTTGGTAGGACCCTTACCCGACTCGAACGGATACTCATATCTCCTAACATGCGTAGACCGTTTTACTCGATGGCCAGAAGCAGTACCGATTAAGGACATTACTGCTGAAACAGTGGCTCGCACTTTCGTCGAACGATGGGTAGCAAATTTCGGCTGCCCTTCAACCATCACTACAGACCGCGGACGCCAGTTCGAATCTGGACTTTTCCGTTATCTGACCACACTTTTAGGAATCACGCGCTTCCGAACGACCGCCTACCACCCACAAGCAAACGGGTTGGTAGAACGTTTTCATCGACAATTAAAAGCTTCATTATCAGCTTCAAACGTTTCACAGTGGACAGACGCTCTTCCACTCGTCTTGCTAGGTATCCGCAATGCAGTGAAAGCTGACATTGGATACACGGCATCTCAACTCGTTTACGGAACGACACTCCGACTACCAGGAGAATTCGTGGATCCTTCAGCTTCTTCATTGAACATGGATCTAAACTCTTACACGAGTAGGCTTACAAACGCTATGCGTTCAGTTAAACCTGCTCACACTCGACCTCAATCAACTGATGTTTTCGTTCAACCCGAACTACGACATAGTACACACGTCTTCGTTCGTCGAGACTCACATCGACGACCCCTCGAATCAGCATACGAAGGACCTTTCAAAGTTCTTCAACGCGAACCTAAGTACTATGTAGTCGACAAGAACGGTACGAAAGATAGCATCAGTATCGATCGACTCAAAGCTGCGTACCTAGAAGGAAACCCTAGCTACGTCGATTTTCCTTCGGTACAAGCAAACGACACAGCTACTACACTCGTAGTACCCTACACGACAACCGACACACAACTTGATACTTCGTCAACGTCGATAGAAAAACCTAAAACAACGCGTTCTGGAAGACGAGTAAGATTTCCAGAACATCTTAACGAATATTGCACGTAGGACATAAGCTTTATCTTGAATTACCCTTTCAAAGTTTATTATAAATTTTTTTTTAATATGCTCATTTTTTTTATTTACGTAAAAAAAAACAAAAAAACAACATTTTTTTGAGCGTATATAGATATATATTTATATATTAAAAAAAAAACCAAAAGAAAACCTTTTTCCGATCGCTTTTACGCTGTTTGTAAGTGTATCAGTTTATTTTTTTTCCGCTCATCTTGTGTCCTTACGCAAGTACGAGTGTATTTTTGACATGCACTCACACGTTTTATTTTTCCTCTTTTCCAGGACGGCTGGAAAAGAACGACGAAGTTTCGCAAGGAACAGAAATTTTCATTGTACTATATTTCTTTATTTGCTACGTTGTACATTTTGGTCCCATAGTTTAAGGAAAGACGACCAGACGCTGCTAAACGAAGCAAGCTATCAGAAGAGTGTTTACCAACGACAAATTCGTTGGGTTTAAACTTCTGGCTGGTCACGTCTTAGGGGCATCACTACCTCACTAGGGGGGGAGTGATCTGTAGCTGTAAATAATTCCCCAAAATCAATAGCTCATTAAGTGTTCGACATTGGATGCTGACCACGTTGTTTAAGTGGACTTGTTTAGCTGAAGGCTTTCGGTCATGCATCCGCACCAGATCACGTTTCAATACTGCGTGGGACACAGCTCCTACGTTTCATTAGCCAGCTCATAGAAAAGGTCCTCGATATATTGGTAACGAATCAAATATATCTTTCCTGCCTCTTCTCGTTTGACTTCTGATTTTCTATCTGACTGGTAACAACCGAATTTAGAAGGTGCTACTGGTATCTAGTTGTAAAACTAGAATATCCGTTGCATCATCACCTTTCAAGCAAACATTGCACTGATAACACTGAACCGCATTTTTTGCCAGTTCAACAGAAGAATTTTCCACATAACTTTCAACAGTTTTATTCTCCCCCTCCCTCACTAAAAAAGGATAAGGACACTGGAACGTATCCGAGGGCAAGCCACGAAATCACTTCGAGGACTCGAATCCAAGTCTGTTGAAGAGCGCCTCCAATAACTGAACCATTAACTATTAGAATACAGATGTCTTAAAGGTGGTTTTCCGATGGCCTAAAGCATCCTAAATACTTCTGAACCTCCCCTTCAACATGTACCTAAGTTTAGGTCGAACACGAACCCACAGGAGAAAACCCAGAAACTAGAGACACAACACAGCGGAACGAACTGTAGACACAACTTCCACCGCTTAAGAGTAGTAAAGTACTGGAATCCGCTACCGGATGAGCTAGTCCAAGAGACTTCCCCGGGAGTCCTTTAAGAAGCAACGTGTCCTTTTCTTAGGGACTAAGGATAATATCTTACTATGATTTACCTTTTTTTCTTTTTCCTCTTTTATCGATGACAAACCTAGGCTCCTGCATGGATGTATTGGTGATCCACTGCTACTAGATACGGAATCCCGTCAAGCGAAAGTTTCTTCTATTCTGTCCAAAACAATTTGGCCATTGAGCCAAATGTACTTATTATTTTCAGGGTCATTGCAAATTAAGTTCTTACGCTACATGACGACCACGAAGTTTAATGAATACTAACCCGAATTCTCTTGTCAGTCAGTTTGTGCAAGGGATTAAATCTCGTAGTGAAGATGATAGATTTAAAACTGTGGCCGAATTATGCAAAGTAGTAAGCAGTGAACTGAAAGAGGTATCAAACCAAAACTACGTTATATGTTTGGATTTGTTATGTAATGAGTTAATTAACATAATTTCTAATGGTGATATACATGAAAAGAAGGGGGCTATAGTCGCAATGGGTAAGTTTTGTACTTCCGAAACCAATATGAAGTGGTTTTCACCAACCTAGTTATGTTTTCTATACACATGGTTATAAGTCGAGCAATTCATGTTAGCTGTCAACATAGACTTAATAAGTGTTTTCAACGTATTTTTGTGCCTTATTCCTACCAAACAGGTTTCCATCCCTCCCAGTTTTTAAGAATTTCGAGGGCGAAAATCTGAAAACATTGATGCAACTTGGGTTACTGATTTTGTATACTATCCTCCTACTTTCATTTTGCCTGTTAGGTATGTGTGTGCTGTGTGTACAATCGCCTTAATGCACTTCAAGTGCAGAATTGTGTGCTTATTGCAAATACACTGACGGTTTGTCATGTATTAATCACATGTATTCAAACATCGTTATAATAGTGATAACTTGATCAGTAATATTTGTTTTGTTTTTTAATGGATGTGTCCTTATCAACGTAGCGTTTCAATTTTTCTTTTAGAACGTCGAGATTTTTCAGTCCAATAGGTTTTTACAATTGAATGCTTTTACTATTTGATTTTACAATTGTCAAAGCTGTGATATTCTTATAATAGATTTTGTTTTGTCAGTAAATATTTGTCTGACACGTTTTTGTGTTTGCACTGTTTCTACTCGACTTCGTTAATGTTTCTCATCGTCTTGCAATAACTAGAGTCGTAATCCCCTCGTAAAATCGTTTGTCCATCGTTATTGACTATTCAGAACACGTATTTGTACTTGTTTGAGTAGGATGCTATATGTGCTCAGAATTCGTTGTCCCTTAAATTTCAAAACATAACTGGGATCTCTCTTACTGATTATTAGAATGGCGAATGAAAGCGCTGGGTTTTCCTTAAAAAAAACCGATTGAAATAGGTGTTGTGAGTGAATATATGAATGCACAAAATGTTCCACATAATGGCTGCAGTGGTTCATCGGTGTTTGCATCTAATCTCTGACAGTTCAAAGATGAACTTTAATCTCACTCCGACTTAGTTTTGATGTTTTATGGCACTTTCGTCGGGGTAATTTCAGGATGATATTTAATAAAATAACCGCCTGGTTTCATATCCAATAAAGCCACCAAGTTGTTAAAAATTTGACTGTCCAATGTTTCACAGTTTGTAGTGGTTTACTTAGTATTCTCCACGTTATTATACAGTAAACCTCAAATTTTTCGGACGAAAATATCGCGACGAATGTGTTTTAGGACCTCATATGTGTATCCTAACTTAACTTATCTTTCAGAGGTAGGATAATCGTAGCGTCCTTCCCTGTAGTTCAATGTCAATCACAGAGTACGGTTTATATACTTAGATCTGACAATAAAAGATTCTGTAAATGACTGTTAACTATCGATTCCCACAAACGTATCTTTATAACTACGTTATATCTTGGGTATCTTAAAATTAGGACACAATATTTTGAAGTGTAATAAGAAAGTAAACCTAAAGATTATTTTATTTATTTATTTGGACAAATAAATAATGGTACAAAGGGGCACCAGATACATATGCGCCACATAAATCTCATTTGATTTGTGTGAGGGCTGTGATACTGTCCGGGTGCCCAAACCAAAGCAGGTGGTTTTCTTAGGGGTCACACCCGGAGCCTTTGATCTAAAGATCTGATCCACAAAGCAGTGGAGCATCGTAAGGAGATGTAGTCCCATGGTAGCCGGTGACCAACGATTGATTCATACGCCATTTGTTCCCTCAGGATACTGGAGCCCATGTGCACCATTGGTTTGGAATCAGGGTTTTTCAACTCCCCTAGGTGGACTCTCCGTGTTCACCAACCTGGTTATAGCGTCGGATATTCGCTTTTCGTTCTCTCAATTTCGTAGACAACACCCCTGGTACGAGAAGGCAGTGAGTAGGACTTCCCTGTCAGAGGCTATATACGCGTGGCCATGTGAGAGCATTTCAAGAGGGAGAGCAGACTCTCCCCACTCCGGGTATTGTACATTGTCGCTAAGTAAAGCAACGACTTATACAATGTACACAGCAAAATGGACTGAGTATCAGTATTCATCAGTTCAAGTGAATCTCAAAGTAGTAACACTTAGTGATGCTAAAAAAGAATAGGCATCAAAGGTAAGATTATAGAAAATGCAAATTAGTAAAATAAAAACAGTTAAAAATTATTCCAACCTACTCCTGCACCAGGCCACCCGTCGAGGTAGAAAGTGGTTGGGCATAAATGCCCCCAAATGCCCTGGTACGGCCGAGAGTGAGGAGAGTCCACTCTCCCTCAAAATGCTCTCATATGGCCAGCGAATATATAGCCTCTGCTAGGGAAGTCCTACTCACTGCCTTCTCGTGGCACCGGTGTTGTTTACGAAAGTGAGAGGACGAAAAGCGAATATCCGACGCTTTAACCGGGTTGGTGGACATGGAAAGTTCACCTAGGGGAGCTGGAAAACCCTGATTCCAAACCAATGGTGCACATGGGCTCCAGTATCCTGAAGGAACAAATGGCGTATGAATCAACCGTTGATCACCGGCTACCATGGGACTGCATCTCCTCACGATGCTCCACGGCCTTTTGGATCAGAAATTCAGGTCAAAGGCTTGAGGTGTGGCCCCCTAAGAAAACCACCTGCTTCAGTCTGGGCACCTGAGCAGTATCACAGCCCTCACACAAATCGAATGAGATTTGTGAGGCGCATATTTATCTGGTGCTTCCTTGTACCAATATTTATGTGTTTAATTAAATAATAAATGACACATGTCTTATTCACCTCAGGTGGTGTAGATTCACTACTTGATCATTCGGTTTGCCATCCTTATCTAGTGCCTTATTCCTAACTTAGAGATTGGCTACTCGATAGTCCTAAAACATACGAGCGATGCTTCGAAGGCACCATACAAATCTCATTCGATTTGCTTGAGGGCTGTGATACTGCCCAGGTGCCCGAACTGAAGCAGGTGGTTTTCTTAGGGGACCACACCCGGAGCCTTTGACCGAAAAATCTGATCCACAAGGCAGTGGAGCATCGTGAGGAGATGCAGTCCCATGGTAGCCGGTGATCAACGGTTGATTCATACGCCATTTGTTCCCTCAGGATACTGGAGCCCATGTGCACCATTGGTTTGGAATCAGGGTTTTCCAACTCCCCTAGGTGGACTCGCCTTGTCCACCAACCCGGTTAAAGCGCCGGACATTCGCTTTTCGTCCTCTCACTTTCGTAAACAACACCGGTGCCACGAGAAGGCAGTGAGTAGGACTTCCCTGTCAGAGGCTATATACGCGTGGCCATGTGAGAGCATTTTGAGAGGGAGAGTGGACTCTCCCCACTCTCGGCCGTACTAGGGCATTCGGGGGCACCTCCGATTGAGTACTAGTAACCTGCAATTGTCCTCTATTCTTAGTGGACATGTTTCATACTCATAAAGTAAAATGGGGCATACTTCTGGGCATTAAACTCGTCTTTTGACTGGGAGACACAGGTCGATGGTGAAGCAATAGTTTTCACTGTTACATAAGGTAATCAGGAGACTACATTTTGTCAGCGTCTTCACCAAACAGGACTATATCGTGTGCGTGTTCCAAGTCAAGAAGTGGAAAATCAAGCTCTGAAAAGTTTGACGATGAAAGTTATCTTTAAAAGTATATCCGTGACGAAGTTAACTGGAAATAAGGTAGGCGGACAACCCTGACTAACATTGATTGAAGTAGTAAGTTGTGATGGCAGTACTCCATGAGCTCTGACTCGATCAGTGGTGCTCGAGGAGAGAGATTTCCAAGGTAGACTTCTTTGGTACATCTTTAAATGATATACTCTGCCACAAAGCCTCACAACCAACAGAATCGAACGCCCTCTTAAGGTCAAGAAGTAGAACTATATTGGGAAGTCGAAAAGTATGTCTATGTTTCTGAATCTGCCGAGGGGGTGAGTATTTGGTCTACATATACAGGTTCATGTCTGAAACCAGATTGGTTTTTTCGTGTTTGCTCTTTGTGAGTTCTAGTTGGACGTGGAAGTATTATTGAGGCTAATATTTTATATATTGTATTCATTAAACTGATTTCTGTGTGATTGTCACGAGAGGATTTTCACCTTTCATGACAGACTCGGACGATCAGCGATCGAGTCATCAGATTAGATTACGTTAAGCTCTCAGATTCTAAATTCGATCTCAGTCAATGTAACTGCTAAAACTCAACCACCATCTTTAAAAATACCAGGGGCTAGTCCATTAGCCCCTACTTTATGTAACCCTATACACTAAGTCTCTAAAAAGTCCTAACAGTTTATTACCGGAATTTTCCGACCCAAATTTTAGGTTCACAAAATTTTGTTCCATTCTTTTCCTTACTATGGCCTCCACCTACCATTGGGCCGAATCAATAATCAGTTTTTGTCCTGCTACATTGAGGAAGTGTGAATGTTATTTTCGCATGCCTTTATTATTATTGTTCGTATTGGTCTTTTTTATCTAGCGTGTTTTTACATTCAGATTTCATCAGTGATTTAACCTATTTTGTCTTTACAGCAAGTTTCTTCCTCTATCCTAGACACTCAACTATTGACAGATTATAAATATTATGTAAGCACTTAAATGAATATTGTTATGACGATTTTCATCGGCATCACCTTTGGTTTAGTGATATTAGCCATAAAAATTCAGGTGCTATAAGTGTAAGTATTTTTAATTGTGGTTGTAAAAGGTCATGAGGAATTATGGGAACTATTTATTTTCGTAAATTGTGTTGTCATAGAATAGTATAGTACCTATGATAAGGTAGTGTTCTTAGTAATGTTATTTGAGTACTATGGTAAAAAGTGTAATATTTTCGGTGTCTTTTTCATTCCTGCCATTTAGAATGTTAGCTTAATGGTCGAAGTACACAGTTTTAATGATTCTCCACCTATTTCGGCTTTGGTAGGCCAGTAGTATCACTAGGCTTCCACATGAAGCATAGCTGACCCGAATACATGGACCTGTACGTATTAAGAGGTTTCCATTATCACAATATGTCGGCCTAGCTATTTTCACACCGAGAGAGGCTTTGCCATATCAATTTCCTTGTTTTATTTTGGTTATGTCTTGCGTAATTGTAACCGTCATTAACTCTAGATGAGAAAACATTCTAAGAGTCAGAAAACACTCGCAAAACACACTAAAAAATCACTAAACCATAACTTTTATGTAACCTACTACATTGTTTTTATTTGCTACTAAAATGATATGGCTAATAGAACCTTCAAGAAGACCCTACTTTTTTTACCCTTGCCTAGTGACTGACTTCAAGATACATGTCCTGGAGTTCTAGTGGGAAGCAGTAACCAGTGGAGTTCATCCACGTCTGTTGTGAGATAACAACTCACTGAAGACAATCGGTGAACGGTTGCTCAAACTTCTTGGATTGGTTGAAGTTAGACATTAATACCGTTGGATACTGGCTTAGTGGTCTATCGGTTAAGTGCTCTGGCGCGAGACTGGTATGTCCTGGGTTCGAATCTCACGAGTGCGGGGTTATGGATGCGCATTGCTAAGTCCTATAATAGGACAAAACGGCCGTCCAGTGCTTCCAGGTTTTCCATGGTGGTCTAGCTTCAATTGACTCATGATTTCAACTATGAAAAAATACTGAAATCTCCACAAAACCCCTTCTGACCTTGCCTTAATTGTCAAATTATCCTTGTTTTCAGGTTGTTTAGCTGAGGTGGATTTTATGAGTGTTCACAATCATTGTCAACGTTTTGTAAAACAGTTGCTCACTCAGTCAGTAACTACAGATCTTCAGCTAACAGCTTTAGAAGCGAGGCTCATTGGGCAATTGGGTTTAGTATTTCCATATGATTTTATTGAAGAGCAAACCAAGAATGCTTGTAGTATACTATCGAAAGATAGTTCTGATGCACAAAAACACTTCGCAGTAAGTTTGTTCAACTTCTCTATGCTTAACAATCGTCTTAAGATTGTATTGTATAGTTTTCCTTCCAAGCATTTATAACATTGATTAGGCCACAAATAAGAAATGTACATCTGTTTTTCATCTCTTGTTTGGAGCTTCTCATTTGTTTCAGTTCTGGATTTACCATTAGCCTTCTGTTTCCTACCATTTTTCGGTAGCTTCTGGAACTTGGTGGTGATTACATCAAATTAAAGATATCTCACTTGAAATACATTTAGAAAACGATAAAACACTAAGTTTATATTCAAGCATATGAAATATCGGATTATTAATATAAGAACCTAGCAATGACTAATCGACCAGTTTATTATAGCTAAATAATCATGTCCCTATTTAATTTCTTCGGAGCAACACTTGTGTTTCAATAAGTACATGACCGAATTGAACATAGAAGACATTTTACATAATTATTCGCTGTGATAAAAATATATTACTTTTTAGTTAAACAAAGGTCCATCAACAACAACAATAATATCATCATGTAATAGCTGTTTTTTGTAAAATCAGCTCTACGGTTGTTCGTACTAAATGACTATCACTTGCTGCTATTGCACTGTATACCAATTAGCAGTAGGCAAACTTCTCAAATGAGCGGCTGTTATTCGGAAAAGTAACAGTGGTTGGATAGCTGGTTAATGTGCGAAACTATGTAGTTCGATAAAGGAACTGCAATTAATCTGCATTTTAAACACATAATAATATCTTTTTTGTACTTATAGCTCCGGTTTCTTCATCTGGATGGCTAATTCCTCAGCCTTTTGAAGGGCTTTAATCTTGACAAGCTTTAGCAAAAGATTACTGACCCTATAAATAATTTAAAGTGATTGGTTTATACTAGCACTATGATCAGTTTGTTCTAAATGGGCCAATATTGAGCTGTTCCCTTTCTGCACCAAACCTTTATTTTGCCACTCTGGGAGGTGTTCGCGAGCACGAAAATGTAAATTCCTAGAACTACGACCTATATAACTTACTCCACAGGAGCAGTCGAACTGATAAATACAAAATGAGGTGGTAATTCTAGGTCATTCATCTTTTAGCGTCGGTGTCACCATTGGGCGCGTAGAAAACACTAATCGTAGTTGACCGACGTTGAAAGATTTTTGCATTGTCTGAGTTATTCTCTGAGTTAATATTTCACTAACCGCATCCCCTCTGGATTGTAGACGCATGAACAGGGATTTCTTCTTGACCGTTTATATTTCATCTATTTTCACCTTCGTGATCATATATTTAATTATAAACTTTCTAGGGTAACCGTTCTCCCTAAGAGTAATATGCAAGGTGTTTAGCTCATCTTCAACCATATCCGCAGAACATATAGTGCGTATTCGGTAACTGAGGGTTTTGATCAAGTTTCGTTTGTACTGTAGAGGTACAAAGCTAAGGAAATGCGTATACTGTCCAGTTCAAGTATTTTTTTCTGTTTACGTTTCTTTTTAACGATCCATACGCTCTCTTAGTTAAGAGAACGTCCGAAAAGGCCATTTGACCATTTCTCTCTTCAGATGTAAACTGAATAGCTGGATGCACTTCATTAAACTGTCTGAGAACGTCCTGCTGTGATGTATTATCTTTACAGAGGATGAACATGTCGTCCATATATCTACAGGAAAATGTGAATTTTTGAATAATCTTTTTTTATTGGACCATTTTCTAGTTTGGCTATAAAAGTATTAGCTAGTATAGGGCTTAGAGCTGAACCCATTGCAGCACCATCTGTTTGCCAATATATTTCTCCGATGAACCCTCAGTTACCGAATACGCACTATATGTTCTGCGGGCATGGTTGGAGATGAGCTAAACACCTTGCATATTACTCTTAGGGAGAACGGTTACCCTAGAAAGTTTATAATTAAATATATGATCACGAAGGTGAAAATAGATGAAATATAAACGGTCAAGAAGAAATCCCTGTTCATGCGTCTACAATTCAGAGGGGATGCGGTTAGTGAAATATTAACTCAGAGATTAAACTTCATATTCACCCTTATTTCGTGATATAACTACCAGTATTGACTAGTAAGATTACATATATGTGTTTAACATATTTCTATTTTGTTTTGGAACGTTTCTAATGTAATTTTCTTTTACATCTTACTGTGGATCGTTCCCGGTTTTTCAGATCCTAACTTTACGTGAATTTATTTTGCATACACCAACAAGCTTCTGTCAACATATGGGTTCATTTATTACAGCCATTCTTTCTGCTCTTCGAGATAAAAACGTAAGTTGCCTTGATAATTAAAATTTGTATGTTATTTCTATTTTGCATTTTACTGACCGGCTCTAATCGTCTTACGTGGAAAATATGTTTATTTTCCTCATTTATTTGACATTTCGTATGTTTATCTATCTCAACAATAAGATTACAAGTTTCAAGTATGTTTCATACCAATAATATTTGACGATACATTCCATTGTTTAATTACAGGATGCTTCGTCTGAAAACCGAATTCTTCGCATCTAGGTTTGTCTTATTTTGAACAGAGAAACCAATCTAAACGTTGAATTATGATTTTTGTTCAAATAAGTCTGGTAAAAGAAAATTAACTATATTTATGGTCTTGTAAAATATTTCCTAGAATTGTTTTATGTCTTATTTCCTCAAACTTTTCAAATTAACTCAATAATATGCCATTTTCAGTCGATTACAAGGGAGTTGGCTGGAGTTGCGTTGCGCTGTGCGTTCATTTTAACTGCTAAACGCGAACAGAGACGCTACAGAACATATTTAAGTGTGGACCATAGTCGTATGGGTGAAGGACCTGGAAGTTTTTCAAATCTTGAAGGTGGTGCATCATCTGTTTCCAATCGAATGTTTTTCTCTGCTACTGGAAATTCACGTCATAAAACTAATCCCAATTCTATGAGTACCGTCAATTTTCCTGGTCTTGGATATTCCGTGAGTGATACAAACTCTACGTCGTCACCATTTATTTGGTATCGTGATTGTTTAATCGAATCCATACGAACCCAAAGTGAACCAGCTCCGTTAATTTTGCAAGAGCAATCAAGTCATGTGAGTTGTTTCGATACGATTGGTAGTTGGGATTTTACTTTATAATTTATGATAAGTGGTTTATATCCCATATATTTTAACTGGTGAATTTTTCAAAGTCGTATAGATTTGTACTTCTATGCATTTCATAAGAACCCTAATTTTTCTATAGTCCAAAACTTCCAACCAATATGTCCATTGGTGACGTAAACTTCAGTGATATTGGCTTCGAAGCTTCCAGTACTAATGTATAAAGCATTAGTTTTGTTGAAATTTCAATCAGTATCTACTTTTTTCTGTTGCTCATTAAAACAAAAATTGATGACTTTTCCTGATGTTGTCATAATGGATAACATTCTACTTTATAGATTGTCATCCTGTAATTTAGTTTATCATTCAATCATACCTGCTATGTGCTGTGGTTATCAAATCTACTTATCGTGCAAACGTGATCAAACTGTATTAAACAGAGCATTTATTTCTTGAGGCCCTACTGCATCACACGTTGTTTGAAGAGCGGTAGGACTTAAGTTAGCAAAGTTAACGTCCGAAGATGAAGTTGTATTGTCGACTGTACTGAGGTTTCATAGCTGACATGTTTCTAACAAGCTAGCGTCGGAAGTCAGGCTTAAGAGTTGGATACCTTACCTTGACCTCACGGGTTTCTGGGACCGATGGTATTGTCTGAATCGTATGGAGCTAGTGCGAAAGAACTTTCGTGTGAATGACTTCATACATCTGTCTCTTGGACTTTCGATTAACATTTCAGGGTTTATAAAGCCTTCACTAGTTTTCCAGGTTTCCTTTCAGGTAATTTAGGTAAAAATATCCTTAAACCGCATGAATGACTGGAAATCTTATTGTCACCCTTCATAAGATTTTATCTTTGATGGTTTATAGTTATATTCACACAGTTATATAATATACCCTTGTATGCCAGGGTAATTTTGCATTGGTTTTCAGGAGAACCAGACACCATCCAGACTTTCACGTGACAACCCAAACAGTACAGCTCATAATTATTTGCTGACTTGGTCGTTTTTACTTTCTCAATTCAGACTTCCAGTTCTAGAAAACTCAATCGAGATGATTGGATACATGGGAATATATTAATACTTCAGGAATTACTTTTCTGTGTTCAACCACAGTTTTCCAAATTGCTAATGGAGTTGGACCAGATGTGTGGGTTGGTAAGAAATAAATGTATTTCATTTTGAATATCATGATCACTTTGGTTAACATTTATTATTTGTTTCATGATATCGATTTTTCTTTAAAATAACGTATCCATTATTTATACTCAAGCGTAATCTTTATACATTAAAATGTTTATAAAGTGCGCTGTAGTTTTTGATAATTTCGACTTCGTGAAAGTGTTATTATATTTATGTCTGGTCTTTTTTCACTTATTCCAAAAATCAAAATACTTGTGATTTTGTTTTATTCTAAATCGCTCATCTTCTGAGTATAATCTCTTGTTATAGTTAAAGAGAAAAAGGTTTCTATTCTACAGAATCATAGTTTATTTATTCGGACCTCTGAATACTCATCCTATTTTCACTTTAGATGTTAAGTCTGCAACAACATCTACTGCTAAATATTTCAAAATAAGGACTCATAGAAATCCAAACTTTACAGAAGGATAGACTGTAGTTACTAATAGATTGAATATGACATTTTTCTAAACAAAGAAATAGGAAGACGTTGGCGTAGTACCCTTAATCTACACGCGTATAGGCTTAACAGCATAAAAGGAGTACTAAATGTTAGGGAGTTTCAAATTATTCTTTGAAAATGTCCATATGGGCCCAGAAAACGCTTGGGAATAGTATATACAACCAACGTTGAATAGAAGTTTCTCAGAAGTATCTAGAAATTAAAAGGTCATGTGCCATGTTCCTAATTGGATATTTACCTATACTGCCACTATATTTAGTACGACTCCAGAAACTTCCGGAAGCTCAACGTCGTTTGTAATTCTATAAACACCCTCTTTTTTTGTACATGAATTAACCTTGAAGTAAAGCGTTCTTTCCGTACTTCGCGCATTTTTTCTTATGTTCAATTTGCCGTGTAGATTGAGCCTGGAGTTATTAGGAGCGGCTAGGAAATTGAATCGAGCGTTTATTCAGCGGACTTATTAAACTGTAATGAAAGCTTGTACGTAGACAAGAAGCAATCAAGTGACAAAAGTGTATTTAAAGTATGAAGGAATCAAGAGTAAAAATCTCTATGATCGACTTTCATATAGGTTCCTCAACCACTACTTTCTGAGGTCCCGAGGACTTCAGCTAAAAGACTTTACTTTTCTATCTGCTACATTAACAGTAAATGATCTTATGAACCAATAAAATATCCCGTTTCGCGTATGAACTTTTTTAATGTCTTCATATTTTTGTACATAACATGGGACATTCTTCTAAAACCACACAACCTATTGCTTGTGCTATTTTCTTTTTTAAAATAGCCATTGTTTGAATTTCTTACTGTGAGCCACAGTGAAGGGAGTTTAGCAGTACGTACTGTACTGTCTACAAGATGGCCCATTGTCAATGCTTCATGTATTTCAGTAGCTATTGGAGTTCTTCCTGGCAACCCATTTTGTTCGTCTGATTCAGAACAATTACCGAATTTAGCACTTGAAGTACTTGGTTTACGAGATGGTATAAAACAGGAATCTAACGGCTATCAACAGCATCATGAACAACAACAATATGGACGACAGAATTTCAGTAATTTATCTTCTGAGATCTGTCTGTGTCTTCTATTGGAGAATATTGACAAAGTGAGTATACTTATAGTTGTTTGTAGCTCAATCCTGATTCCAAATACTACAGATGTTTACTCTCGAATGTATGTGCTTTATAGAGAATATTTGTCAACTATATGGTCTTAAAAATTTTTTGTAAATTAGTAGGAATTTTAGTATACCCAGTTTATATTATGTATCTCTGTATGTAATCATAATTTAGTTTGTTTTTCATTGAGAACATGAACCGGTCAGTGTTAGACCACCATTGAAAATCTATAATCACTGGACGGCCGTCTCATCTCAATATGGAACTCATCAGCAATGTGTATCCACGACCCTGAACCTAGGAATCGAATATAGGACCTTCGGTCTCGCACGTAAACGCCTAACCATTGGAACACTAAGTCGGCTGTCTTCTGCCTCCAGTTTTTCAGTGGTGGTCTAACTTTGATCGGCTCATGAAACTCAAGAATCTTTTCAACCCTATTTTGATAGTGACCAATAAATATGAATTTGTATTATCTTGGAACCATTATTTAGATATGGGCTTCAGTATTGATGTGGATTAATAGTCGCAATCATCAGATAATGTTTTTACTATACAAACTGATTCCTCGTCTTGTTGCTTTAAAACCTAGTGAATTTCAAGATACCGAGTAAGTCGTTCGTTTACTTTTCGTAGACTTTATAAAACTCTTTCTTATTTATGTACGTGAAAGAAAGTAGAAATATTTAAAAAAATTTTACTTTTTTAAGTCACTACTTATATCAAATATTGGGAGCTTTAATACTCACATAGTGGAGGTAAATAAAGTTGATCTACGCACCCGACTAATCCATTCCCTGCCCCCAAATGTCCTGATATAGCCGAGGGTGGGGAGAATTATCTCTCCTTCTCGAAATGCTCCCAGATGGCCACGCGTATATAGCCTCTGCCAAGGAAGTCCTACTCACTACCTTCTCGTACCAGGGGTGTTGTCTACGAAATTGAGATGACGAAAAGCGAATATCCGACGCTATAACCAGGTTGGTGAACACGGAGAGTTCACCTAGGGGAGTTGGAAAACCCTGATTCTAAACCAATGGTGCACATGGGCTCCAGTATCCTGAGGGAACAAATGGCGTATGAATCAATCGTTGGTCACCGGCTACCATGGGACTATATCTCCTTACGATGCTCCACTGACTTGTGTATCGGACCATTTGATCGAAGGCTCCGGGTGTGGCCTCTTAAGAAAACCACCTACTTCAGTTTGGGCACCTGGGCAGTATCACAGCCCTCCCACAAATCAAATGAGATTTATGTGGCGCATGTGTATCTGGTGCCCCTTCGTACCAATATTTATGTGTTTAAATAAATAAATCCCCGTAATTAATGATAATAATAAGTGATGATATCTTTGCGTTACCATTAGGTTTCGTATCTTGTGATGATTTTGGGCAAAATATATTTTAGATTCCACTGTATCTCTTTTTTTGCTTTATAGACGTCAGCGTACTGTAATGGAATGGATGCTTCAATGTTTGCGTAAGGAAAAAGAGAAACCCATGATTTTGTTAAATTTATCTTTAATTTGTTATTTTATGGGTCCTGAATTCGCTACATCAAATTATCTCACTCAAATTTTCCAATCAATTCGTTCTTATCTACCAACACAAAAGGATGTTTCGAATAAGTACGTCAATCGAAATATTAACTTTCATATTTTTTAATCAGATGATTTAAACTATCGTACTATCCTCTTGCCCTAGGTTTATATTGGAATAGTGTGTATGATGAGTGTAGCTCAGTGTAAGAATACTCTCTTATTCGAATTGTTACAGATGCGAAATCTAATACCACTCGATTATTTCACTTGTGCAGAGCTCAGAATTAGTTAATAAAGCTATAGACTTTAATGTGTGAAACCGAGAAGTATTGTTAGGTCACAGAGAAAACAGTATGGCTCAAAACCAAGCACAAGCTTTATGCTTGGTTACCGAGTTGCCTGAAATTAAACTTGACATTTTGAGAGTAAAACGTTCACTTATCCACCTATATAGAAAGGTAATGGAATATCCATTGTCTTAGCTACTGATCCGTAAATTCCGAAATTAGTCTTTTATGATATTTTTTAATACTCACTGTAGCTTTGATGTCATCCACAAAATAATTCCGATTATTTGATCACATGAATTCCCTATGGCTGTCTGTTTCCTATAATAGAGAGGTAATCGGGTTTTCTTTACATAGTCGATGAACATTTGTGTAGTTTAGTACATTAAAACTACACTAATGCAAACAGTTATTGAGATAAGTATACTTTAAAATCAGTTAGAATTTTAGGGTTCACATTCTTAGCACCTCTTAATTTAAAATTTTTAAAGTTTTTTTAAGGTATTGACAGCGTTGTATTTTTTTTCCCGCATCACTTGTATCTTCATACAAAATATCCATATTTAAATAATGGTTCACATGTTCAAGATTAAAAGCATATTTCAAATACATTATCGGGCTTTCCTATATGAAAATTCGTGTTTTTGTATTATTTTTATTTACTGTCTTTTGAAACAACTGCATGGGAACCATCCCACTAGTTTACCTAGTACACTCGTATAGTTCTGGTAAATTAATGTTTTACAATATAGATTTTGAGGATTGAGGCTCGAATTCACTGGAATGCTGGGGATAACCTGAAAATATGTAAAGTATTTAGTATTTTTAGTCTATAACAGTATTTGATGAAGAAAGCTGTTCAATAAGTATTCATAATACATAGAATAGATGGATTGTGGTTAGCACTGGGATTCATGACTCGCTTTTCATCCTACTTGCAACTCGTCAGTTGGATGTATTTAGATTCCTTGTTAATATCCACACAGGCACTCGAAACCAGTGTCTTTCTCTTTAAACGCTCTACGCGTTATCTATTGAACAGCTGCTGAGCCTTGGTAACCACTAACTTGTGCAACATGTCTGATATTTACATCATTGTTAGAAAGGATTTGAATTCATTTTTCAATGACATTAATCTATTGCTATCCGTTTTCCAAAAAATGAATGAACCTACAAATAGTGAAAAGGTTTTAAGTCAGGTGAATGCGAATTAACCAGATCTTTCAACTCTAGACTATAGGCATATTTTCAGAAAAGAATCATATTTGATATAGAGCTAATATTATCAATCATAGTCCTTATCGTGTGAGGTCAGATTAATTTAAAAAATGATTCTCTGAAGTTCAGCATATTTCCACTTACAGATTGTCTATTAATGAGTCTAAGAACAGACTTCACTGCTAAAAATATCTCCTGACAAAAATGTGAAAGATAAAACAGATCGGTAAACAATAGAGGATCGTTTGGAATTCCCTTCTTTATAAGCTACAAAAAATAGCAATAAGCGGGAATGTTCTGAATATTTGTACTCATTATAAACCAACAACGAACCATACAAGTTGTTTCATTTTCACTCCTATCTGAATTATGGTTAGATCCATATGGTTATTCATAATTTTTTTCCAGATCTTACGTATTAATATTGAGACATTGGACATCTCAAGATTTTGTTTTGCTATACCTCGTCTAACCATCACTTTTATTTCATTTCTTATCACCTAGCTGTTCTAAATTCAGTAGCATAAATCGAATTCGACACCACTTTGAATTAATCACTTAGTTACTAAATTCCAGAAAACGTAGTGTCCTAGTAAATTAGTTATCGCTGTAAAATAACATACATTAGCATTCAATATCATTCATAATTTCCTATGTTAAATTTCTAAAGCTGAACAGTTAGTTTTCATTAAATCTTGCTATCTGTATACCGTTTCCATTTTTCTGTATATTAAAGGAAGCGTTCACCTGCCTTGGAAACATCTGCTATTTTATCTGTCAGTCTTTTTACAAAATCTCTCGGTCCTGCAATTAACGAATCAGTAAACCAGATACTAGATGCAATGGTAGCATCTGGCTTGAATCAACCTTTAATTGCTTCTTTTAAAGTGATTGCTATGCATATCCCTCGATTACGTAAAGAAATTCAGGTGAGATTATTTTTGCCATTTTGTCACGATTATTTCCTATTTCTTTAATTCTTAACAATGAAAAACGTTTCGATGTATTTTTCTTTGCATTTCATGGTCTGGGTTGTCCTCAACAAATAAATTTGCACCTCAGGTAGATGTTTTTGTTGTTGAGCCATGTTCTACACAAATTAAGCTCTGATGGTGTTGTTGAGCATGATAATGGGAGCTCTTCAATGAAATATATATATATATATATATATATATCATTTGTGAAGCTTTTTTTGGACTTTTAGCTTTTTTGTTTTAATTATTTATAACAAACGCCTAGTAATCCGATGTAAATATAGATTATTCGAGATTACAGCACTAAGTCGTATGCGCAGCGTGTTCAAAGTGGATTTATGTAAGGAAAAAGTCTAAATAATTGACCTTAGTCAGGAATAATGTTATTTACCGCTGTGCTGTTCACACTCTATTTTGATTTATATCGCTAAAGAACTCAGGCAGTTTGACTTTCATGTCGTCAAAGATTGTATCACATAATAATTCTACTATGCATTATCAGATCATAATGTCGCCTTTCTTTCTTGATGCTTCTTTATCCTACAGAATTGACTGGTGGTCAGTGACCACTTTAATTATTTATAGTTTATTAGTTTGCCTGAATACGTTACATCATATTGTTTTCCTTCAATCTATAAAGTGAACAATACTGCTAGTATTACAGGCGCCAAATTTACTGACTATCCACGGTATAATGGGATATATTTGACTCAATTATTCATATAACGTCTGTTTATAACTTCATGAAGCCTTGAATACTTTTGAAGCTATTACTGTTTAACCAAGCCATGTGCATACTACCTGGTTCGGGTCCGTGTGATTATCACAACTAGTGGTTAGAAACTTCGGACAATATGGTCCAAAATCGTTTGCGATGGCGCAGATACATTCACTCTTTGTGTTTCTTAGATCTTAAATTTCTAAACTCAAGTTTCTCTTTACTATTTGACTACATTTATATTTTCTCTAACCATATATTCGACGCCTGATCTTTCCTATTACCACTAATACTGTCACTATCTTTATTACTCTGTGATTTGCCATAAACATTCCATTTTGTTACACCAATAGCATGTGGAAACTTGAACCGATGAATACATATGCTATGCTCTACACTGTGACTGACTGACCTCTACTATGGCATTTATAATGGAATGGTTGGTAGATACCATTATTGCATAATATTTCTAATTGACTGGGCTGATAATTGAAGTACTTTTCATTGGTTGAAACGGAGACAGTGATCTACGATTGTCGTAATCTTTCCCGAACTTATTTTGGTTTGTAGCAAAGTTATTAACAAACGAAATGAGGTTTAAGTAAATTAATTTATCTTCAGTTCGCTCAAATAATTAATTAAACTGGTTGCTACATTTTGGCATGAAGATAACGTTACAGTGTTAATTTTATCGTGTTATATAGATGCTAAATAACTATATTGTTGGATGTTTGAATGTAGTTGAAGGTATTTTAAGGTTTCATAATTGTTAATACTCATCAGCAAATCGTATTCGCATCTCTGCAGAAGTCTTGTTCTTTTGGATAACATCTAACCACTCAATTTATTCTCTGTATAATCGGCACTGAATCGTGAAACATGAGAAATTCGGTTTTCTATTCATTGGGATAATTCAAATTTATTATTATTTTCTTACCGTTCAGTAAGCATGACAGTAAAATACGTGGCTGCATCGTCCACATATGTGACCGCATTGTATTCTTTCATCGATAAACATTTGTATGATATCAAGCCGTTATTCATCAATAAACCTGTCTATCTAGTAACCAGAGTTTGAATCTATTAAATATATTTTATTTGACTTATCACTAGTACCACGGAATTGGAGTTGTATACCCTTTAACCACATTTTGAATGGTTTATTATCAATCAAGAGACTCTCAGTGTAATTTTTCCAAGTTTTATGTGTCTGTATGTTATGCATGTTTGTATCTGGGATGAAAAATTACATTTGTATGTATCTAACAAAGTTAATCAACCAATACTGAATCCCTTGTTTTTAATTGATGTAGGATTGTCTACTAAACAACATCAGTTTAGTTCTAATGAATAATAGCGGAGGTAGCTTCAGTCACCTTCATTCACATATAACAAATACTACCACTGGAGATAGCACTGCATCAACCCTATCTTTTTTTCCGAATCTAATAAATCTTGTCGGGGGAACTATTCATAGTGGAAGTTCTGGAACAAATGTGCCCACTTTAAGCTCAAATAATACATGTTCTTCTGCGTTAGCTGTGGGTGCTAATACTGTGAATTCCAGTACAAGTGCTTTTCCGTTTTCCTCTGCAACACGTTTTGTTTTTGGACCGTCCACAAAAGGTCATAGTTCAAAACAAACTAGTTCTATAGGATTAAATGCTACTGGGACTGAATTTGCTCATGTGGCTATTCCTGGAGGATTTTCAGCTTCTGGAGAATTATCTACAGATGTGGCAGTTGTGGCTTTGGCATTGAAAACTCTAGGGAGTTTCAACTTTGATGGTAAATTGAGTATTATCGTAACTTTTCTATTTCTTGTACCAGTGTAGTTAATATTTCTTTTTCTGACCCATGGTAATCATTTTTGTAAGCAAATCGCTATTTGTTCAATGTCTTCAGAGAACAGATCTGCATTGAGTATTGATTTACAAATATCTCTGTTGTGCTTGATATCATCGGAAGCACCAATTTTTCACGTATTTGTAGAAGAATCAGTTTCGGTCGTTTAAATAGATCAAAAAGTGTGTATTTCAGTATTAATTTATGAGAATACGTTGAATTAATGCTCAAACTGTCAATCACTGTGCTAGAATCGTACTAATCAGCTCAATATAGTTAAATTGGGAAGTTAGTTTTATGTAATACATTCACAGCATAATTTATCAAAGCTGATTCGAAAGTCAGTTAGAAACGGTCATTATATCTAGGATTCTCCTAAACAGGATGGCGATTACGGTTTAAACATAATTTGGATTGTTCTTTCCTCTAAAAAACCCATAACATTTTCAGGAAATTCAATCAGTCAGCCTTTACCACATTGATAAACATTCGGTGAATAGTTGAATTCATAATTCGCTGCTTCATAAATTGATTACTGTCTATATTCGTTGACTCCCTGTTTATCCATATTCAAAGACTTGTTTTGTCGTTTTGAAAAATAATCACACAGGTCATACTTTGGCACATTTTGTTCGACATATTTGTGACAATTTTATATCTATTAGTACATGCGAAGTAAAAGAAATCCGTTTGGAAGCGGTTAAAACTTGTGCTCATCTAATGATTCCTTGGCTCAAGGTTAGTTAACGAGTTCATAACTAGTGGCTTTATATTTTGTGTACTGACTCTAAATAATTGTATTTTCTAACATGGTTCATGGATATTTAATCTCTAAACATCAGCCGATACTGTACAATATTGATACTCTAAGAAAGAATTAATGATAAGTGGGAAAAAATACAATTGGTCATCAAGCTCAACCCGATGAGAATATAAATGATATTTGTAGGAAATACGACCGATATGACTAGGAGTTTACCCCTTGAATAATATTACATAATCCCCAGTCTTCCACACAGCTGAGCTAAAAACTGTTAACATCCTACAATGGAAGATCAGAAAAAGCTAATGATTGTCTAGACTTTTGTTGAATGAATTACTATAGACATTCCATTCTTTGCTAGCTTCAAACACTATGAAAAGCCAAACCAACTGTACCTTGAAGAGAAAAAGTCCCCCATGTGATCCGAAACACTAGCGAAAACCCAAATCAGAAGACTTGTAATAGGTGTTAGTGCGAAAATGATTATTACTTCCAGGAGGAACGTCCTGTCGGTGATCCGTTAAACAATGTGTAAGAGTTATTCTAACCGTCGTCACCTATCTATCTCGGCGTTACATTATCAGTGGTGCTAAGATTAGGTAAACCAAGTGGTTCAAGATAGTCAAACTATGACATTGGTTTATGACCTGTTTTCCTACTGATCTAAGCTGTGTAAAAAGTAGTCTGCTTTTTGGTTCAGGTCCATGTAATTGCTATCCATTTTATCTGATATCTTATGTCCGTATATTTCTACTTTAGACTATGTCTCTTTGTTTTTAGTCCACTGAAACACAACAATGGTATGCTCGACCAGCTTTAAATACGGTTGCTGATGTTTTGAATAAGTTGCTGACTGTAGGAATAAGTGATCCAGGTAAGTTTATTATTTGTCGTTTTTGAATTGTTTAATATTTGATATGACCAAATCTTGGTAGTACCAGTTTTCTACCATTGTACTAACATAGACTGATTGACTAATTCTAAGAAATTATGGGGGAATATCAAAACTTAAGTATTGGTAAAATGCATCGAACTCAAGATCACTATTGTAATATATTATCCTATTGTCGAATCGCCACAATCAATAATCCCAATCTACCATGAAATTAAATTTATCTACAGTCTCAAATAATTTATTATTCATTTATTTTCTCTTCCTATTCCATATCCTTGTTGATTTTAATATATTTCTAACTTTTTGTTGATTGGCTCTTTCTGAACTGTTTGATATACAAAAATTCAAGTCAGTTTATCTCTACCCAAGGTTACAAGTAGTTGCAGCCATTTTTTTTGTCCTGTAGTTATGCACTACTGTAAATAGATATCTCTTTTTTTTGCTTTTTGTATTACTTTTTAATTGATATCAATAACTCTTGATAGTCTCCCATCAATAAATGGCCACAATTAATTTAATTAGCATATGAAAATACCTTTTGTTGTTTACTTTTCAAACTTACAATGTTGTCAATCTGACTTTCATTAAATTTTCTTATCTTTTAAATTAAGCTAAATATTTTTCACTCTTTTTTGCACTGTCTACATGTTTACTCTTAATTTCAAGATAATAATGCCTTATTTTCTGAATTGGAATCCTTATAATAGTTTTCATAATAAGCTGAATTTACAAGGGTAGTTTATAAGTTAATGTAATTGACTCATTAAGTGTCAGGTCCTAACTCTTCATCTACTTCAGTTTATTAATATCACTAATATTCATGTAAATTGAGTATATAAATCTCTGCTTGGTAAATTAATTACGTTACCTAGTTAAATTAATGATTAATCAATTAATATATGTCAAACAATCAATATGTTTAATAAGTATTGTAGGTTTATATCAATATATATGTGATGAGTGAAATTTGTTGAAGTTAACATTAGTGTTTATTATATAACTGAACCTAATGCTGTTTACTAAGATTGTTTGCTCTGAGTTACATTATCTACTATGTTTTTAGTAATTTTGAACTCTCTGAATTGGTCGATAGGTATTTCTGTTGTCCAGAACGATAGTGTAAAAGCTTTGTAATTTGATTATTTAGCTCCATTAATATAACGCCATCGAAAACATCGACCTATGATTTAAATTTTTATCATTTCAAAATCATTCACTGTCGGACGGTTGATGTTATTTAATCTATGGATAAATGTTTAATAGGTTTAAAAATGAAATTATTCATTGTATTCACTTAGTCTTACACAAGTTTGTTTTGTACGGGAGTCTAACGCTTATTAGCATAATTTTTTATTTTAGATCCTGATGTTCGGCGTTGTGTATTCCTATCCTTTGATCAACGTTTTGATCTTCATTTAGCTCAGTCAGATCACTTAAATTATCTTTTCTTGGCTTTGTACGATGAAGTTTTTGATATTCGCTGTTTAGTAATGCAACGTCTAGGTCGTCTATCGGATATTAATCCTGCATGTGTCCAACCTAATCTACGAAAAGTTTTGTTACATGTAAGTTACGTTTACCATATTATTCTCTTGTATTAAGTTGTTCACTGTGCGTAAACTTGAGTGCAATAGTTCATTTGTTTAAACTAATTGAGGTAACTTTCCTCACTGATTACTTCATTCCTTGTTAACTGAGCATCACTGTATATGCGGGAGTTGAGAAACTCACCTTGGAAATTCTTGAATTCCCATGCAAAGTATCAGAATACTTCAGCATCAGTGTCTTTACTAAACAGGATTATGTTATCTACTTATTTGAACTCTTAAAGTTAGTTCAAATAAAAAACTATTTCTTGGAGAGGCAGGTAAAAAACGTATTCCCTGTACCAGAATATCCATGATAATATTCAATTGGAACAGTAAAGTGAATAATTATCATCCCACTACTAGTGTTTGAGTAGATAATCTTCTCTGATTTGACGTGCATCCTTCGTACACCTTTCATAAAATCAGCAGGATTAAAAAGGGGCTAAATATTATTTTCAATCCAATGAATACAACTTCAGCAATTCAGATATCTGTTTCAAATAGTGATAATAAATTAAAATTTTGGTTGGTGATTTGTTCATGGTCAGATCTACAGTCTACTGGGTTTTCTTCGGATTCTTTATTTTCAAGTTCCAGTAAACCATTAGATATTCATATAAGTTCGAATCTACGCAACCATATTATTTAAATTCATGTCAAACCAGAATGAAAGAAAAGATTCAACAAAATTTCTTATCCTCATTTTCCTTAAATTGTTACCACGATCCGTAATACAAATATTCTTCAACTCGAAAGACACAAAATCTCAACTAAACAAAGTTTAGCGCAAAAACAGTATTCAATTTTCAATATACACATTTGTTTGTATTCTAATGGTATATTTAACTAATTTACCTAACTTTATCAATTCTTAGTTTATTTCTATTTTGTTTTTAGACTTTAAATGATCTATCTCATAGTGGTTCAACTAGGAACAAAGAACAATCAGCTTTATTATTATCGTGTTTAATTGCTACAGCACCTAGATTTCTTATTCCTTATTCTGAACCATTAATTCATATTTTACTACCACGTATTCGACAAGCTTTACCAGCATCATTACGTGCTAGTTTAATAGTGACTAGTTTTTCTAGACTACAAAATTCCACTTTTACAAATAATAAAGGTAAGATTGTTATAAATAATAATAGTAGTATAACATTTATTATTTTAAATAAATATTTTCATAATTGTGTTTGTTTCTTTTTAAAAAAAGAAAATAATACTAAAGAATTTGTAGCTGCATTTATGAAAACTAATCCATTGAGTTGTACTGTAAAATTCAGTCTCTCAAACTATTACTAACAGGTTTCAAGACACAATCAAATACCCTGGTACGGCCGAGAGTGGGGAGAGTCAGCTCTCCCTCTCGAAATGCTCTCACATGCCCACGCGTATATGGCGTATATTGACATCTAGGTCAAAAGCTTTGGGTGTGGCCCCCTAAGGAAACCACCTGCTTCGGTCTGGGTACCCGGGCAGTATCACAGCCCTCACACAGTGTGGTGCATATGTATCTGACGCCCCTTTGTACCAATATGTATGTGTTTAAATAAATAAATAAACATTTGATTATAATGTACTCGATTTAATTTAATTCAATTTAATGAAAATAAAATAATTTTAAAATTTAGTTATTTTTGCACTGAATAAATCCGAAGGACATATCATTATATACATCAAGATGAACTTTATCCAGGAGAACAGTGATCAGATTGATATGATCCTTAGTAGCGAAGAAAAATCACTACAAATTATTATTATTATCTTCGTCCATCCTGTATTCTCAAAATCCAACAATGAATTTAATGTTATTTCGCAGCTCACTATTGTCTCCTATATTTCATTAATATCGATGTATACATTATTTTTCACAAAAACAATTGGACAAATAGATACAGAAAGAGATAACTAGTCTAGACATTTTATTCTGCATTAGTAGTTCTGTGGATTGGTCTGTGCAACCTTAATAATAGCATTGCTCTGGGTGCATCAACTCTAAATCATAGACATATATGTAGAGAATTTTTGCTAACAGTTAGGCCTTCCTTATGCTTTCATTTTATAGCTGAATGTTTATTTATAAATTACGGGGTTTCTGACTTATAATCGCACTATTATCTCTTTAATCCCATGTTAACCATATATATTCTGATCATTAGTCTCACAATTCCATTTAACGTATAAACTTATTCAAGTCAACACTTCATATTATTCATCCCAACATTAATGACTTCATTTTAGATTGCAAACAATCATAAATTCACATTCTATAATCTTAAACGATGTATTTCACCTTAAACTTGACCACTCTTTGGATTATAAATTGGGATATATAGTTGTAGAATGTGAAGAGAATTTATCGAAAAAAAATATTCTTCGTTCATTTATTTGTGTTTTAATGTCATGGGAATTTTTCGATAATTAAAAAAAAATACAAAATCACCTTGATGTTAATGCTATTCATATATACACATACACATACTTTGTATCGTAGTTTTGTTTTTCTAGCCATTATTACTTTCATATTATTTTTTTTCTACTCACTATTCTCCATAGAAATCGATTGTTCTTCGTCGCTTTTGCCTGCTGAACGTTTACCTGCAAGTATTCAATTAATTCAAAATGTAATTTTAACCACACAAATTGCTGCAAATGCTGCTTCAGCTTCTGCAAATGCAATTGCTTCTGCCGTTGCAGCTTCTGCTGGTCTAGGTGGTGGTCTACATTTCCCTCTTACCGCCAATACATCACAACGTTTAACACGACGTGCTCCTACTGGTCACATTGGGGCAAATCAAATTGGCCCAGCCCTAGCCGCTGCGAATGCAATCGCTATGGCTACGGGGGCAGCGACAGCGGCTGCAGCCGCTGCTGGTGCAGTAATGGCTGCAACTGGTCAAAATACTACTACTAATACTAGTGGTGGTGGTTTCGGAATATTCAATACAGATGCAAAGAATCTATTTGGAACTGGTTTGGTACCAAATTATGGCTTTAAATCCGATGTACCTATGGTTAGTCTTAGTTTTCTGATTTTTTCAACCAGATGGTGTTACTTCTAGTCTTTAAAATATGTTTTCGATGTACAGTTTATTATTTTAATCATTTATTTTTTTAAAAATTTAGCATGATCTAGCAGCAATTGTTGAACGCTTTGGTAATTTAAATTTCGATTACAATAGGGATACTTATTTCAATTTCGAATTTCCTCCTGGAGCATATCCGCCATCTGTATATCTTCTAAATTCAACACCTTTGATTGATTCATATATGCTTGGAGATCAGTATTCTAGCACAAATCAATCATGGTCAGAATACAGCATGTCTAGAATGAGTGAAAATTCATCAACTGCTCAATGGACTGAACCAACACCTGTAATTGTTGCATTATTTACAACATTAGGGCGATTAGCTGCTGTAGCGCCACGCTCTATTTATCATTATATGGATGAATTTATACCTATTCTAGCCTATATGATGCAAGATACATCGTGTTTTTTAAAGCGATCAGTAAGTTGATGCATTTCATTTATTCGTTTTACACAATTTTGTTCCTTTTAAAACTACATTAATATTTATCAGATAATTAATCACAAATATTTTCTGTCTAGTGGAAAATTTTTATTTCTTCTCTTTATATGCTTTACATAAATCGTGTTTTGTCCTAGTGTGAAACACAAGAATGGGCAGAAGGAACGTTTGTTGTCAGAAATTACAAAGCATGTATTACGTTTTCATAAACTTTGATCGTCCTTTTCCATCTCGCGTTGGGGTCTGCCCATGCTGTGTTTTTGATGCTCTAAAGCCCTTCTCTCCATCTGATGACTGTGACAACTTAGACGCCACGCCGCTACATACTACTTACAAGCAATCTTGTGAGCAGCATCTTCTACTTAGCATCGAGCAATACTTCTAGAAGACTTTAAGCATATATATAATGAGCTGAGAATCCCACATTCTACTAAACATAGCATTAAATAAAGCCATTACTAATAGCACTATCGTTGCTAAATAAATTTTATTTCAATTAGGTCACAACATAATCAATCACAAAAATGACTAGAGACCTCTCATAGTAATTGTGTTATCGTCCTGTGGTCTTCGTGTTCAGTTTCTTCTGTCTAGTTATCGATGGCTTTAAGTATCTTGTAACGCAACTGGTAACGCCTTTCACCCCACTATTCGTTCTTAAGCATGATGTTCAAGTTCTCATACTACAGTAATACTCGTTCTTATTTATTACTGCATGTTATTTAAATGTTTTTGTGAAATGGTACATTCCAGATTTTATTTTGTTTCACGTTGATCTAGGTCTTAGACTGTTGGGGATTCTGATGTTCTTTTGTGGATGTATTTATTCGTATTATTAAATAAAATTCAATTATTTCTCTACTCTGATGAATTTCTGTTCATTTAATTTTATGAAGGACATTTTCTTTCTCATTGTTTTTTATCGGCAAATACTTGCGGTTTACTTTTCGTTTTGTATGCATTTCTATTCAGTTGCAGGTATAATGATTTTTTCTGGAACAGTTTGCCTCATAATAAGTTGCATCTTTTGAATGGAAGGTTTCTTACTTCGCATTTTGATTTATAAGTTATTTTTGTTCCCTTTCTATTGTAGATTGCTGTTTGGACTCTAACTAGACTAGTTTCTCACACTGGTTATGTTGTTATCCCGTATAAACGTTATCCTCAGTTGTTGAATATTCTGTTAGGTATGCTAAAACGTGAAGAAATCAAATGTATCCGTCAAGAGGTAGATTTAACATTGATACTTTAATATTCGTATTTATTGAATATTTGTTTACTGGTTCTGTAAGCTTGAAAAAATCCCATTTTTTATTTCAATGGAATCCGTTCAGTTGTGTTAGTTTGTATGTTAATTGTTGATTGTTTTTGTTTTGAAACAGACTTGTATTGACGTATGTATTTTTGATACCCATTACTTTATCGTAAAAGTCATGTATGATGTCATCTTCATAGAGTTTGAATACCATAATTTTCTACCCTTCTAGAATTTAGTAAACTATAACATTTTTTGTTAATGAATTTAAAAAAAGCTTACTGGCTTATTTCAATTTTCTTGTTTTGTTGGTTCACAGTCTCTCGCTTCCATGTAATGTAGCACAATCTACCTAATTTCCTTCGAAACTTCGTTTTCATCACTGCTTTTTTGCTTTATTTAGAATTGTCCAATCTTAAAAACCATATTCTTACGGTTCAGTTCTTAAAATTAGTCCAATATTCAATAAAGTTACTCATATGTAGTCACATGTTGGTTTCATGTTTGGAACTTCAGTTAATCTATTAGACTTTTTGATTACCTTATTTAATTGTAAAACCATACTACCGTTAGGATATCTTGTATTCTCCCATAATAAAATTCTTTTCTATGTCTATCTGTTTCACTTCATTATATTTATGCGAAAGCCTATTTCTCTCTGCTTTCTCTGCAATGATGAAACTATCCCCAACCTGTAACGATCAACTACAAAATATAAAGCTCTCATTTTAGGATTCCGATATCCTCAACCTCAATCACTAATGAGTTACCAAAATATTTTATCACTGATAATTTACTGAAGTGTTTATTTTAAGGTATAAAACTTTTGTGTTATGATTCAGTAGTCCATTTTCAATCGTTATAAGCTCCTTATCAGTTTGGATAATTTTAGTTTTGTTAAAACGTTATATTTTATTAAAATATTTGAATTCCTACTATTAGGTATTGAGAGCTCTTGGTGTTCTTGGTGCACTTGATCCCTTCAAGTTCAAATTATATTCCGGTCAAGTTGATACATACGGTGATACAGGAATTGCTGTGAGTCATCATGAAGTAGTTGAACGTAAAGATGGTAAGCGGCTTGATAATTACTTAGTGTTGATTTTTGTCTTCTAGTAGTTAATACTTAGGATAATCAAAGTCACATGTTCTAGCAGAACATATAATACAAATTAGTCTATGTAATTCGATGAGGACAACGGATTGAACAAATATAGTATTGTTAGTATTGATGGGTTTATAGGCATTTTAGAGTTTTCATAGTTTGAAATCAAAAACCTTTGATCTCGCGTGTGGAAAGACCAATTTCTAGACTGCTGAGCCTACATCCCATGGTGTAGATGTCTAACTCCAATCATTTCGCGATATTACGCGACCATCTTTCATTGGCTGTGTTGAATAACTATCTCAGATCCGACATGGTTGAGCTCCAATATGTACACTTCTGAGGGGTCTGTACGATTACGTCACAGCTGTCCAATGCTTTTTATTGTTCACTGGAAATTCATTTAGTGATTTAATACTATGAAAGCCTGATATTGATTAATACTCAGAAATGAATTAGATACCTAAATCGTGCGTAAAGACAGCCACTATCTGAACAGCTCAGTGGTAATTTTTTTGAAGATAATTGGTTTATGTTTTAACACCTGAAGTACATTTAATTCCACAGCTTTGATGAGAGTCAATGAAAACTCCTGAGTAATAAATCGAAAAATGATTAGCCATTTCAGTGTTTAATAATTTTTTTGGCTAAGCTATTTCTTCATAAATCTTTTTTTTAACTTTAGATAAGTATACATTCATTTTTATCTAATTCATTCCTTTTATAAATTAGAATAAAGCTATATCAAAACTAAAAGCGAAATATTATAACTTCACTGTATTTTTCAGTTATCACTCTTTGCTTACAACCTGTAATAATATAACTACACATGTAGATAGGATAATCAATCTACAACAACCAATTCCTGTGACTATAAATAGGTAAAGTGATCACGGTTATCAATGAAGTTATCGACCTATAAAGTCATTAGAAATGTGACGTAGAATGTACAGGAGAATTTTCTAAAACCGGAAAAAATTCAATAATTGCAAAAAACGTTTACACAAGAAGTAAAAGTAAAAATGTTTTCTTGTTAGTTAAATTAATGTGGTAAATAGAGGTTGTGATTCCACAGAAGATAATTTACATGTACATCATTTTTATTCGTTTGTTATTCACACTTACATTCCTGTACTTAATCTTGTAAGATTATTTTGTCTTTCAGTTTTTGCAGTACTCACTTCTAGATAAAAACGTGATACTTACCACTAAGTAATTTATAACATTTAATTATTATTGTAAATGAATTAAGCTTATTACATTTGTGTCCTTTTGTAAACATGTTAACGGAAGAAATTTATTTCATAATATATTGGCGCAAAAAGTTGATGATTTAATGTGATCGGTGATTGTGTTCCTTTATTTTTTTACTCGCTTTTCAACCAGTTGATATAACCCAATCAGAACTTGTTATCAATTTGTCTTGGGAAAGTCGTGATGTTTTCTTCTCAGTTTGTGCTCTATCTGCACTGATTCATTCACTACGAGATCCTGCACTTCACAGCCAATATGGTAGCATTGTACATACGATAGTTTATGTTTTAAAACTATTGGGTCCACGCTCAGTGATTTATCTACGTCAGCTTATACCGGATTATTTTCGATGTTTAGAAAATACACGTGATGCTAGAGTAAGCTAGGTGTTTTTGTGTTTATTCTTTCATAAGAAGTATGTCTTTTTTTTCAACAAAAATACTCAAATCAAAAAGGTTTCTGAAACGGTTAATCGTTTTCTGTATTTGGTCTTCCTCATATTTTCTATTGTAGTAAGTCATCATTATTGCGTTTTGAGGCTAACACTACTGCTGAGCTATTCAAAATATATTTAGCGGTATTAAATTTAAACCTGAATTATGTCAATTATTTATGTAAGCTTCTGAGGAAACACAATCGTATATTTTTTCTTTGATATACACTTTACGATGTTTTACTTGGAAACTGTGCACGATGATTGATGCAGTTTATTATGCTCATTCATGTAGGAGATAACTCACTTGCCACTGATGACAGTGGATGGTCGCGCAACATCTCAAAAGTCGATTTAAGTTTGATTTATGAAATACTCAGTAGTCTAAGGACAGCTATTTTGCTGTGACGCCCAAAGATCGTGATATTGACCGTGGACGTCTGAGTCCTACACTGGAACGAAAGAAGTGTTCGATGTTCTGTGGATCCCGATGGTTATCTAAAGTTGTCTTCGTCAAAGACTCCCACAAGTCTCATATACTAAGGTTCATTTATTAACGTACGAAATTATTATTCATTCTACTAAAAGATTTCTCACAATCGCCATTACTAGTAATACTTTACTGAATGAGAACTCAGGTGGGGAAGACCAATTTGTTGTTTAATGCAGTCATACAGCGTATTTGTAAAATTTGAGAATCATACACCAAATAAATCATTTGCGCATCTTCTTTCTGTTGTCCTTACATCCTTCATGATTCTTTCAATTCTTTTATGTTTCACTTTTCTCTTCTCTTCATTTCGATCTTCCACTTCTGATTTGCGTTAAATATTACTTATGTCGACTGACATGATTAGAATATACCACACTCATCCTCCCTTTAAATGGTCGCTCTTACAGTTGTTTTGCTCGCTGTTCCACTTTATTCTTTGTTGCAGTCTGTGAAACGCTCTCCGTCAAAATGTCGAGTCCACTGGCGCGCCGAATTCCGTAGCGATGTCAACCTATCGGGTCATCTAAATCCTATGTCTGCCTAGCATCCGGAACATCCGCCGCATTCTCTTCAGTGACATGAGTAGCATACACCATACTACTACCAATTTGATAATAGGGAAAATAATATTTTTTGTTCATTCGTTATTACTTAGTGGTGGTGATAGGCTAGTCGTTTATCCGTATTATCAAGATTAAAATAAAATAAATTAAAATTTCCTACTCTGTAATTAAAGTTTATGTCCCCAAATTCATTCCGGTAATGTTTCTGTATAGTCGTTATTTGGCGAATTTAGAATATGTTCACTAATGAATAGTATAAACATTTCAGTTTAGTTAATTTATTGATCTCAAATAGTTGAATAATTTTAAATCATGAAATTTTTGAGTAACTTTTTTAATCTGACCAGTTGTGCAACCGCACATTCGTATTTTATATATTTATTTATTCAAGTTACAAGAGTTTCTTATTCGTCAATTGGGTAATGTAATGACTATCGTGCAATTGAATACAAAAGAATTTGCTCATGAAGTAATTGATTTATTAATCACTCATTGGTGGATTGCTCCAAATGTTCAACGTGCATGTATTGGTTTATTAAGTCCAATGTCATCTGTATTAGGCGCTGAATTTCGTACATACTTAACACGTCTTATACCAACCATATTGAGAATGTTTCATCATGAATCAAATGAATCAAATTTAATTGCTGTAAGTGTTGACTATTCCGCGTATATTTTATATTATTTGAATATCAGTAAATAATAGGTGATATAATTTACCAATATTCAATCTGTACATGTTCATAATTTGTTTTACTGTGTCAGCCAAAAACCCTTAAGTCATATAGATTTGTGTATTATTATTTTGGTTATTAAGTTTGATATCGTTATTTGCTATTTTCAGATTCAGTCAACTAAACATAACTCAGTGCTTATGCGTTTTAATGTTAATTCAGTGTAGTTGGATTGATGCAGAAATTCTAACCTTCTAGTGGAAAGTCAGACTGCTCACTAAGAAGTATTAAACAGTTTCTGCTCTTCTTATCTCACATCTTGTATGCTCAGTTGAAAATAATGAGTAATTCTTTTATAGACTCATCAATGATCGAACCTTTCACTTAGATTCTTTGTGAGTTGAGTATGCCCTGCCTTGCATTACTGTCATTAAATACTTCAGTTAAAAATAAATAGTTTACTTGTGATTTTCCTTGTGTCAGTGCTTCTTCAAAAAGTTGCATGTGAGTGTATGCATTGCAAATGCTATTTCAGGAATCTTCAATAGTTGGATGTTAGACATTTCAACGCGATCTTATCAAATTTTTGAATCATTCACTTTATAACTTTGCGAATCTTACAACAAATATTTTTTTCGATTCGTTATAACTGACTAACTTGATATGTTAACCGTCTTATGTATCCAAGCATTCATAGAATAACTATTGAAAATATATCTTGAAGATACTTAATTCAAGCAAACACATTTCACATGATTAATAGATCTGTTAAGGTCCTCTACAGGTTTTTCTGACCCTAAATTGAAAAACGGTACAACATATATGTTCACCGACATATGAACATTGAGTATCTATCTTCTCAAACCCTTATAAGAACGTAAATTGAGCCCTCATATTGTTGCTGATTAAGGTTAAGATTAGGCGTTTAGTGTTAATATTATGAGTTTAGGGTTCAGAATTTAGAAATTAGACTAGAGATTAAGAATCAGTGTTAGAGTTAGGATTTAGGGATAAGATGGGGTTTTTGAGTTATTTACAGTTTAGATAGGAATAACTGAACATTAAATACGTTTAAAACTATTGTACTTCATTCTGAACGTTCTGAGCATTATCCAAAGGTAACTCTGTTGATCATTTCACGAAATTGTTGAATTTTATATAGAAATGTTTAACGTTTGTATTCTTGATTTCGTATTGTGTTGAATAACGCAATTATTACAATTACTATTATTATGCAAACTTTCCACTACTGAGATAACAGATATTATAACGCTATATTGGATATGCATTTTTCTGGGATTTTGTACTCGCTAGTTATTTTATAATTGGGTATAAATTGTAATTTGTAATTAATTATTGAAATTGTGAACGTGAAAGATAAAATAAAGAAATACCTTTTTTATTTGACTATCATTGTTTAATATATATTCAGTCTTCACGTTGGCTTCTTTTTATCTTTATTCCGATATATATTTGTTTTTTTTTTTGGGGGATCAGCTTTTAGAAGTTCTTCCAGAATTTGGATACACACTTAAGGATTATGCTCATATTATTGTTCCTGCAATATCAAGTTTAATTGATATTACCAGCGAAGCCAGTCTTTTTGTGCTATTAAATAGGGTTTCAGAAATTTCATCGAATCACATTACTACTACTACTAATACTACCACTACTTCTACGACTGCTACTACTACTTCAACGTCAATTTCACACTCAGCTATGCCTAACTATAAATCACAGTTAGACACAGATACTATTGATTTGTCGAATATTCTCAGCAGTGTTCCTGAAAATAATTGTCCGTCAACTAATGATACAAATGTAGGTGTAATTCAGGCATCGAATACAAGCACTGTACCAAATGGTTTAAATCAACAAATATTAACTGATAAAGTGGGTAGTGTACATCTTCGTAAAGCGTGTTTAGAATGTTTAGCACGATTTACAGATTGTGTTGATTTAGATGATTTTGCTGGACAAATAATTCATCCAATATGCCGTTTACTTTTAACATTGGAATCATGTCATCAAAGTTATCAGCAGTTATTACATCAACAACATCATTTATCATCGACAAAATCATCAGCTTCGTTGGGTAGTCAAGCATGTTTGAATGCAATTAATGAACTTCGTGTACCGGCTATGGATGTGTTAACTGGATTGTTGTATCGTATGGGTCAAAAATTCAAATTTTTCCTGCCTTTAGTACAAAAGATGCTAAGTCGTTTGCAGTTACACACACCTCGATTTAATACTGTGCTTGGACAAGTGAGTGCTTTTTATCTTTTAAAGTTTATTTTTCTTATCTCTGATAGATAGGGTTGGGTGTTGCGCTAAATGTAATGAGTTGCATGGCTAATTTTTTATATTGTTGTTATATTTTATTGTGTTATTATTATTATCTTGGGAGTCTCATCAACCTTTGTGGTCTGGTGTGTGACGAAATCTCAGCACGGATACAGAAGGCTCGTCTAGCTTTCACCAACTTGCGCCATTTATGGCGTAGGCGAGATATCCGTCTAGCAACAAAAGGACGTGTTTACTGTGCAGCAGTCCGTTCCGTCCTACTTTATGGCAGTGAAACATGGCCGATAAGATTAGAGGATATTCGTAGGCTACTAGTGTTCGATCATAGGTGTCTTCGACGCATTGCTCGTATATCCTGGGACCACCGGGTAAGTAATGCAGTTGTTAGGAAACGGGTACTAGGTAAGGATGGCAAATCGATTGATGAAGTAGTGAAACTTCATCAGTTGAGATGGCTGGGACATATGTTACGTATGCCCAACCACCGACTGCCCCGACATGCAATGCTTTATAGTGTAGGAGCAGGTTGGAAGAAAGCTAGGGGCAGCCAGACCAAAACATGGCATAAATCCATGAAGTCACTGACAAGTGGACTGAGCCATGTTGGTAGGTGTAGACTACCTGGTTGGGATTCGCGAGATGATAGCAACTGATGGTTAGAGATCTTGAATGACATGGCTGAAAATCGTTTGCAATGGCGAAGGTGCATCCACTCTTTGTGTTCTACCAAATTCTAATCTGAATTCTTCATGTCTGTATCCTTTTTCTCTTTCCAAATTTATTTCATTGTATTATACTCCTTGAATAACATCTTCAAACCCTTATCTTTCAGATTACTGCTTATACTCTTACTACTTCTACCATTATGGGATCTGAATCGACAACTTCATCTCTGTGCTAATGTGGTATGGCAACTCGAACTGATGTACGTACTTACGAAGTTCTACGTTGTAACTGACTGACTGACTGATTTTTTTGTGTAGAGAATATTAATGATTTTTTTCAAATTGCGTTTTCTGAATGTGTTAGTTCACACATACTGTAAAAGGAGAGTTACTTATTAAAGTTCCACTGGAGTTGATTATAAATTTATTTTGGTGATAAAACACTACACTAAACATATCCTGTAGAGCTACAAATCTCCACCATCTCAATATGCTTGTTGTCGATGTAATGTTGGATTTTCTACAAAAGGATTTGCAAATTTACTGTACATATGATAGCCAACATAATATCTGAATACCGTTTATTGTTAAGACAAATGCGCAATATGATGTTTAATTACGTAATGAAGTATTGTTAAGTGGTCGATTAACTTCTTACTGAATATCGATCAAAACAACTGGTTTCTGTGTAATTCGTTTCGATAACGCTTAGTTGTATAATAATTGTGAAACAAAGGCTGCACATGATTTAAAGTTTACAGGTCGTTAATAAATCCAAATTTTAAATCGTGAATGTTAGACCAGACGACTGACCTCTGCGACATCATTCATGAGAAAATGGTGCGAAAGTATGGCTCTCTTTTGGGGTCAAAAACGACATATAGTGGATCCAATTACTTAGAGTTTTCATATATCAATTATAGAAATACTGTTTATTGGCCAGCTTCTATATTCTGTTGTTCTAGACACAATGACAAGTATTTTTGTGGCAATTTTTAAATATGTATTTATTAGGTTGAAAAAGGTGCCTATCTACCGACAACTAGTGATCGTGCGCACGTTAAATTTACCAGCATTTCTACACGTAATCGTGCACAAAAATTGAATGTTGATGATTCAGAAACACCTGGGACTGTTAAACTTTTAAAAATTAACAAGTTAGTTTGTTTTTTGTATTGTTTCAAATCCTAATTTGATGAACCCAAGTACTTGTAAAATTATTCCTGGTTTCGCATAGATTCCATACTGAAGAAAACCTTTGTGCGTCACATTAATAATCATATGATGATTTCCATCACAAAGTTACATCAAATAGAAAACCACTAAAAAAACGCAGCAAACAACACCTATTTCTTCCAAACTATGTTTTCATTACCTTCAGGCGTCTTAACTTTAGATCTACAAGTTTTGTGACGAACAAAACGTTACTCATGCAGAGTTAGCAATAATCGTCTTAAAAACTTTCAATTTTACTTGACTAATGATTTCCACTCAATAGCAAATGGAGATGGATAAGCTTTTGCCTCCTAACTTCATCATCACTTTATGCAACGCAGAACCTGACATATATGTGCATTAGTTGCAATAACACAAGCACAACGAAAAATTATCGAAAGACGAGTCGCAGAGTAGTAGAAGTAGGATCATTATCAGTAGTAGCAAAAAGATTAGATATCGGTAGGGCAGAAGGATATGAGGAGATTTTGGAACTCAGGTTCTACGGGAACATAATGATTGAATCTGCCTGCATCATTGCTAACGATCCTAAGCCATGTTACCCAAAGTTTCTTACTATGAATTACGATAATCACGATGACCATAACCAAATGGTCGACATCTCTTAACATAGTCAGATTATCGACGACTTCATGGACTTGTGTCATGTCTCGGTTTTACCACCCCTGGCTTTCTTCCAACCCACCCCTATGTTAGACGAGATCGCTCTTCCAGGTCTAGTGCTTTTTGATAGTCTTGTTCTCTGAGCTGGATGGTTTGTTCGTGAAGCTTTCATCGGTCTTCTGAACGACATCATCAGCACAAACTTCGGGTAGATGTGAAGTGTTTGAATTTCTCCACATGTGGTTCACGGCTTGTCCTGTACACCTCAATGTTGATCAGATCTGGTTGACCTTAAATCCGTTATTGTTTGCTTCTATGTTTTGGATGTATCTCCCATTGGTTTGATTTTTGTTCCTATGTTTGTGCATAATTTTTCTGATTGGTTGATAAATTGGATTGATTTCATTGTGCTTGTTTATTGATGATTGACTTGAGTGCTACGCTTCTAAAAATTCTCAGGTGTTTTTGAAATTGCCTTTACTCAAAATCTCCACATTTTTCCAGTCGAATGTGTGTCCTCAGTTGTCCACGTGCATTGATATAAGTGAAGACATATCATAGCGTTTGACTGTTAATTGATGTTCATGCAGGTGAAGATGAAGAGGACGTCCTCTTTTTCCAATGTAATGTTTTTCGCAATTGGCACAATTTATTTTGTAGATGATGTTTGGTTTGTCTTCTTTTGTCATTTCATCCTTTGGTTTTCATAGGATTGAATGGTAGGATTTTATTGATTTGTGCGCAACACCTATTCCGAATGTTTTCAGCAGTCTCGTCGTTTCTGATATACCTTTTATGTATGGTAGGGTAATCCTTTTGTTGATTTCTGTACTTGACTTTGTACAGAAATCAACAAAAGGATCACTCTACTCATGAACCCAACTATAAAATTGACATTAGTTCGGCAACTACCGCAGTGTTGTTCTTAACAGGTGTTTGTATTTTTTTAATGAAAGTTACTTAACAATTAATATGTTTCTATAAAAGTACTTACATATTTCACACAAGTGTTCATTCGAATGATGTATTGGCAAATGAAGGAAGGAAATGTCATTGTTTATGTATATCACCTCTTTCAAACGTATATTAATTTCTCTGTTTTTAGCTATTCAAGAACAATCAGTATGATAAATTCAACTTAGTATTGTTTGTTTGAATCTTCCCATCGATTTGTTAGGACTGCAACTGGTCAGTCTCTAATTGGCATATGTGCATACTGTGCGTATTGCCTCGATATACCTTAATTCACAAGCACGGTTAGCAGAGATGGATAGTGGCTAGCAGTAGAATCCAGGACGCGCGTTTCATCCTATTTGGGACTCGTCAGCTGGATGTACCTGCATCTCAGAGTTGATGTTCACTCTGGGACTCGAACCCAGTACCCTCGCTTCAAACGCCATGGCGTTATCCACTCGGCCACTGAGTCCTGATAGCCACTTGCTTATGCGATGGGGTGAAGTTTAAATTCAACTTAGTATTGTTTGTTTGAATCTTCCCATCGATTTGTTAGGACTGCAACTGGTCAGTCTCTAAAAAGAAAACAAGTTTTCAACAAATTATTATTAAAATTTTCAGTATGATATTTGTGTACCATCATGTTATTTGATAACGACCATTTTATTTATAGTAGAGTTTTTATCTATTTAAATGTTTCATTTGATAATTTTATTGAGTTTATTGCTTAGATTGATATTGGTACAATAAAACTTGTTCAAGCTCTTTCTTTCATTTTACATAATTCTTTGTTCTAATCGATACCCCATACTGATTTGTTTTTATATAGTTTGTCCAAATTAATTATAACTTTTGATGATCCATCTTTGTCTTTTGTTAAATTCCACATATTTTTTCATAGTTTGATCATGCACTTCTTTTACTTTACAGAGACCTCTTTCTAATGAATAATAATGATCACAAACGAAAGTCTCAAGACTTTTTGTCAATGACCTCAAATTGTTTGTCGCTATTTTTCCCATTTAAAAAACCACTGCTTAACTGTACTTTCATGTTATAGATTGTTCTCCATGGTGTACATCAATTACTATTCTAATTTAATTTTTTTTCCCTTTAAACAGTACTAATTTAGAACGTGCCTGGCATTCTTCTCGTATGGTTAGTCATGATGATTGGAGTCAGTGGTTGAAAACATTGAATATGGCACTTTTACGTGAATCACCAAGTCCTGCTATTCGTGCATGTAGTCAGTTGACAGCTATTACACCTGGGATAGGTCGTACTTTGTTCAATGCTGCATTTCTTAGTTGCTGGCCTGAATTAAATTATCATCAACAAGATGATTTAATCAATACTTTAGAACGTGTACTACGTGTACCAGACCAGTCACCAGAAGTTAGTCAAACTATATTAAATCTTGAAGAGTTCATGGCTCATATGGACAAAGTAAGTTCCCTTTTTTTCTGTTTTTACATCAATCTTCGATTCTCCATTCATTCTTGTTATTTTTATGTAACTGTCCAAATCATCATTCATTACCTTGTCTACAGTCCACATAGATTCATTCAGAAATCTGTTGTTTTTTTTGTAAGGTCCAAAGATAGCCAGAGTAATTTAAATAGTGTTATTTGATTACATTAAAGCATTATTGAATATTTTAACTCTGTTCTACGTAACTCTTTGATAAGTCACATTCTCTTTATTCAGTATTTTAATGACTGTACGTTATGCTTTCAAAAGTTTATGTAGTTAGCCATTATTTATCACTTATAATATATCAGTTTCTTCATCATGTTCTCAAATCAACAGTTTATGTAAATTAACAGTCAAATGGACTCTCTATCACTTTCATGTTACAAAATTTTCCTGTTGAACACTTTCAATACCACATTGGTAAGTTTTTTTTCCAAGACAATTTTCATAATACTACTGAATTAAAAAAGAAAACAAGTTTTCAACAAATCATTATTAAAATTTTCAGCGAATAAAATGTCCTAATAAATTATTTTCCTTTCCGTTTTTCTCTTTCTTTAAAAAATTTTGATTTCTTTAATTCAGTATTCAAGTTCATCACATCGAGTTCACTTACCATTACCTTTGGGTGTTTTAGCTGATCGAGCATTAAAAAATCGCGCTTATGCTAAAGCATTATATTATAAAGAACAAGAATTTCTCATGGAATCTGAAAAACGTTCTTGTCCTAGTCCGGCAACTTTATCATCTTTACTTACCATATATAGTAAATTGAATTTAGAGGAAGCAGCAAATGGAGTATTGTTGTATGCAACACGTAGCACTCAAGATAAACTGGTAAGTGATTTATTCTGGATTATGAAGTAATAATTTTTTTTGTCATTGTTTCAAATTGTCAGTTTAGATTGATATCATGAATGAATCAATGTTAGACTACCATTGAAAACCTGGGAGCACTGGATGGCCTATTCGTCCTAGCATGGGTCTCCCTAGCAGCGCCTGTTCACGATCCCGCACGCAGGACTCGAAACCAGGACCTTCGGTTTCATGTGGGAACGCTTAATAGTGTTAATATCTAGGTTCCACCGACCCACAATATTTATTTATTCTCTTTTATATATCAATAGGCTAATGAAGAAGTTTGGAGAGAAAAATTACATGACTGGAAATCTGCTTTAAATTTATATGAACGTAAATTAGAAGATGATCGAATAAAAGACAAAAGTTCTCTTATTCTTGGTCGAATGCGATGTCTTCGAGCTTTAGGTCAATGGTCAGTTGTATTTATTTTTTTTACTTAAATTATTATTATCCCATTTTATATCTTTTGTTTAAAGTTACTTTTCAGTGAATTTCTCATTCTTAAATGGTGTAATTAAAATAAAATTTCAAATCACATATGATAATGGTTAACTTGATTGTGTAAATCTGGTAATGAATAATATTTGGTATTATTAATTTATTAGGGTAAATTATTCTGTATATACACAACATTTACACATAATTTTGTTCAAATGCCGTTATTTGCTAATTCTGTGTGGGATTTTTCTTGTTGAGGAAATCAATTCGCAAGGAATCTACTTTCCTTAAATCAGTTTGTAGCATAAACTAGTGTTTTGATGCGTAAAACTGGTTAACTTTTAGGTATTTTACTACAGGTTCAAAATGTGCCATAACATTTTACTTTCGACAGCTAATTGATATCTGAAACCCTATCAATATCACTTAGACATGAATACATCAAGTTTTATTTTATTAGTGAGTTTCACATTATTTGTGGTTGTTAAAAATAAGACCATAAACATTAAGTATTTGTTGTATTAATATGATTTAACCAGAAATTATGATGTTTTAACCATTAGTTTTAAAACATTCTGATATTTTTTTATGTCAGTTAACTATAATCAACATAAATTGCTTTAAGAAGAGTAGTAGTCAAAGCTATGATAATGTTGACGGTGAAAGATTAAGACTAACTGTCAATAACCACAAATTGATTGACTTCCTTGAATCGCTCATGATATTTTGTTGTTTTACTATGTTGCATATAACTATGTCATTTTATTAACCTGAAAATATGTTCTACTGTATAGTTGTCTGATTTTTTATCTCAAATAGTTCGGGGGCTTACGTCTATAATTCGTCTGGTGAGCAGCTATTATTTGACATCCATATATCATCATTCCATTTTACTAATCAGTTAAGATCGTACTCTTTCATTTTAACAATCAAATAAGCTCATCTTATCAAATCACATAACACTACTTCATAACAGCGGTTACAGAGACGGCATAACAGATAAGGCTTATTGATAACTGCAATCAGCATAAGTGATAATTTTAATTATTTGATCCTACTGGTGTAAAACGAGGCAACTAACGGAAGATATGTTTATTACGATGTGCTTTTGTAATGTGCATACATAGCCTTTAATCATCCATCTACATCATTCGATTTATTCTGCAATTCGAACAGCTTTTCTGGTCATCTAGTATTCTACCCAATCTGTGCTTGTGAAGTACTAAAACTCTCATCTCCGTCTTACGATTTTGGCGACACGTTCAGCCACTCTACTTATTAGCCATCTTAGGGGTAGTTTTCACCATGCTGATATGAAAACGTTGTATCAGTAGTATAATATATTAAATGTAACTGACGTGATTGTAACAATCGCACTTATTCTCTGTCTTAGATATTGAATAATATTAATAGCTCAATCATGTAACTGTAGGTATGAAATCGTGACTTTATGATACCTGATTTACGCAATGTTTCTGCAACTGACATTAATTTATGGTAAAAAGTTCCGTAGTGAACAAAACACTAGTTGGGGACAATCGAATTTATTTAAGCAAAACTTACAGACTATCTCAGTAAATTCTGAAAACCATACAATGGACAGTTAATTTGCAAATTAACAACCAATAGTCTCGATCTTCACTGTTTCTTCTCTAATTCCATTGTTCGTGCATTTTCTTACCGATTGCGCTTCGTTTCAGTTCTTTCCTCATCTGTCTTCTGCCAAAATACATTCAATGTCTGACCAACACCATATACTACTTATATGGATATAAGTAGACCACACTACAGTTCTATTTCTAAATAAATGTTTAAACGATTTTATATAATTTCGTGGACTAGTTGACGCTGCACATTAACGCCGTTGGATCCCGTCTCTGGTTTAGAGGTTAACTGTCCTCGCGAGATCGAGGGTTCTGGATTCAAGTTCATCGTATAGAGTCGTGACTGCGTACTAATGAGGAGTTCCACACCAGGATTTAGCGCCCGTTCAATTATTCCGGGCTTCCAGTGGTGGTCTGACGTTAACCGGTTCATGATTTTAATGATGCTCAACAATTTCCACAACTCCATACTGAAAATTTCATTCCCATTTTAATGATGTTATTAAAAATTCAACATTAACTCTACTAATGTTAAAAAATCAAACAAACTGTTTGAGATCTTTTTTTGTTGCAACGCATCTGAATATCATAGAAAAACTAATGATTTATTGCAAATTAATGGAGACCATGTATTAAAGTTCGGACAGATGAAGCATCATTATATTCCTACCCTATGGTATTCGTTCAGATTTTCTTAATATTTAGAATCTCAAGAGTGTATGAACCAGTTGGGATATCAGTGTTTTAAGAGTTCAATATTCCTGTTTTTACCTCTTAACCATTCATTTAAAATAAATAATTACAAACGAGATGTCACTCAAATAACATCTGCTTAAATTCATGATGATTAGTAACATGACATTATAAAGTAATCTGTTATGTATTTTTTAATTTGGCAAACTTTTGAAAACATTCTATCTGAGAGTGAAATCTCAATTTATTTTCTTTGTTTTAAGCAGGCGGATGGTGTTACTGACCATCATGTAAGACCTATCAGTTTTCTTAAAACTATTTGATTATTATTATTCTATTTCTAATCTAGGGCTCCATTAAACAATATGGCTTGGGAACGTTGGAATGATGTGAATGATCAAATGCGTGCATTAATGGCGCCGTTAGCATGTAGTGCAGCATGGGCTCTTAATTCATGGGATCGTGTTGAACGTTATACTGAAGCTCTATCAGCTGATAACAGTTTTGATGGTGCATTCTATAGAGCTGTTTTAAATATACATTCTGAACAATATGCTAAAGCTTGTGATTTCATAATGAAAGCACGTGATGTCCTAGATTCTAACTTAACAGCTATGGCTGAAGAAAGTTACAATCGTGCATATGCTGTAAGAAATACCGTATATGTATATATTTGTAATTATTCACTATTGTCATAAGTATATACTGATATGTATAAATTCTTGCTTTGTAAAGTGATAAATAACATTTTACTTAAGGTTCCATCATTGATAAAATCACAATATCTACATTTTGAAGCTAAGAAGTTCATTTATTCAATCATTTTAAAATTATTCTCTATTTAAAATACTCAGGATTTAGTGGGCACTCAGCTGTTATCTGAAGCTGAAGAAGTTATACAATATAAACTTATACCAGAAAGACGTTCAATTCTTCGTGAAGCATGGCAATCTCGTTTACTTGGTTGTAATTCTGTAATAGAAGATTGGAGTCAAATCATCCAACTACGCAGTTTAGTCTTGGAACCATATGAAGATCGTAGATCTTGGTTACGCTTTGCTGGACTGTGTCGTCGAAGTGGCCGTTTTGTAAGTGAATTACAGCAAATTGTATCTGATGCTCACGATAGTTATTCATCATGGTTATGTGAATTTAATTTTGTTTATTTGTTTCGTTAATATCACTGATATAGATTTTATCACGTCAAGTATTAGAAAATCTGTTGGGTTTAGATCCAGCTGGTATTCCACCATGTGATCCTATTCCAAGTTCTGATCCAGCAATTGTATTTGCATATACTAAACTACTATGGGCAGTTGGAGCGCATGAAGAAGCGGTTAGTCGTTTATGTGTTTTAAAAACACATGTGTTAGAGCCATTACTTCGAGCTGAAACAGGAATAAACAGTGCTCAGCAATCATCAGTTTTCCAACTTTTATCTCCGAATATATTGAATGCCAATGAGACATTAGATGGTTTAGATTCAAGGCAAATAGAAATTCAAATTATTAACGAACGAAAGGAATTAAGGAGGCTGTTAGCGAAGTATGTTTTATTTTTTCCTTGTATAATATATGCAACTTTTTATAGGTTTTTTTTTACTGATAACAATTTGATCGAAATTCTTTTAACAATGGTTTCTGTCACAGTTATCTTAATAGTTGTTTCTTCATACTATATAACTTTTCGAAACTTTAAACCTACTACCTAGCTAGGGACTAGACCCTAAGCTTATAAAGCCCCTCCGCGAGCGTGTTAGCTCTAGACAAGTAAATCTAAGCCCAATTTTCTACTTTTTAAGCTTCCATCTTTTCATGATATATTGCAACAACATTTTCCAACGTATGTTATTTGTGAATTTTGGACCAGAATCTTGCAAGAATATCCAAAAAATGTCATCAAATGTGTTTACGTACAATTGTCCACAATCGTTAAAAACAACTCAGGCTTTTTGGTTACTTCATGCATTGATATTACTTCTCGGTAAATTATAAGTAATTACTCGAACATTCGTATTCATATAGTTATTAACAGTTATAAATGGATTGCGGACTAAGTAATCATTTTCAAATGTACATTTCGATTAATCCCACGACTTATTCAAGCCACTCTCGTAACTGAGCTTCTTCAATTTAAAGGTTAGTCAACGAATACTTCTAAGCTATTCTGGCTCCAACTGTCATCCTGTAGGTCTGAGATGATATCTTTACTTATTGGTCATTGTTAGCAACAAATATCACATCATCCTAATCTCTTTTGCTAATCAAATTCTACCAATTATGTTACTACTAATGGGTATTAACTAACGTAAATTTAGTAGTTAGAGCTTCTTGTATTTTGTTTGTAACAGTCTAGTATCAAAGTATACTGAACTGGAGTATCAAGTTATTTAGAGTAGTGGCCATGTTACAACGAATTCTATAGAGCTTTATCAATTTTTGTAACCGACTCCTATCTAGTAATCAGACACGATGAGCAATCTAACATTATTTGTCTTCATTATTTTCATCTAATTATTTTTAAACTTTTTTTATTGCTAGATGTTGTTTGAAATTAGGATCATGGTATTCAGAATTGTATACACGTTCACCACCTGGCGGTCATCAAATAGACAATCATTCATTAGCTCATACACCTAATTCAGTCTTTACAGCTGCCAGTGGAAACGGACTACAGTTTTCGGTGGCTGCTGCAGCACGTACTTTATCAAAAGTGAATTCTAATAGTGATGTGATAGATAATATACATCCATCTCAAATTTCACGTGGAGCTGGAATGCGTTTATCAAATAATTATAATGGAATAGTAGTTGGTGGACGTGAATCAAGTAATCGTAACGGTTCACGGATTCGTCGAACTGCTTCTGCTGCTGGAGGGACATCAGTAGTAAATGAAAATCTGGCCACGTCCAATATAGCTCAGACATGGGAAGAAAGTCAGGCGTTTGTTATTCAATGTTATCAAACAGCGACATTACATGCACCAGATTGTCGTAATACATGGCAGTCATGGGCTATGGCTAACTATGCTGTATTCAACCATTTGGATACATTGAAAGCTTGTTTGGAAAGAGCGGAACTAGAATTGAATAAAGCAAGTATTAATTTAAGTTTCATATTTCCCAGTTTAACAGATTTGTATACTAATTTAAGTGTTAGATATTGTTATCTATATAGAGTACCTCTTCGATTGCCTAAAGCTAGGTATAATAGAATCCGAACCTGGTGTCCAGTAGATGAAAACTAAGTGCATCAACTCTGTTGGAAGCACATTAATCAACAGATATTTTTGTTCGATTTGAGTAATTTTAAACTCTATTAGTTCTTGAAGTTATTAGCTGTTCGTTCGAGCGTTGTAGGTAATGTGAGCAGCTGAAATGTAGAATTCCTCATGGTTCGAATTCGAAAAGTGTCGATATAAGTCGATGGCGACTTAGCCGAGCCACTATGTTACTAGTTTTAAGACGATGCTAATTATTTTACGGTATGAATAAATGTTGGCGATTTTCTTTATCATTCCTCTATTTTAGGTTGGCGCTATTGATAATCATAGTTTATGGATGTCCCGGCGTAATTTCTCATCTTCCACTGGAATTCATGGATCGGGAGTTAATCACATGCAATCTTCAAATTTACCTGTTGGTAATATTTCATCTAATTTTTCTCCCTTACCACCACCTATAGCAGAACTTGTCCGTGCGAAAACCGATCTACAGAGATGTATGGAATTACATGCTGCTCCATCTGTTAAGGGTTTCGTCAATTCAATAAGTTTGTCACCAACTGCTAACTTACAGGCAAGTTAAATTCATTTTCCTCGCTTGCGACATTAAAGTTTTGGTAATGTAAATTTATTTAGACCCTTTTTCACCAAAACAAATCCACAGATGGTAACTAGGAATTTTGGTTTCATTGGAACATAAGGTACTGGACGTGTGCATGATAGAAATAGACTTTACTTTAGATAACAAGCTACTCTTAGTTGCTAGTACTACCTTATTAGTTAATATTACATATAGTTTTATTGATAAATTTATCCCAATAACATTTAAGTATTTCAATAAACTACTGATTGGGGTAAATTTTTGGTTGGTTGTCTTCACTGATACTTTCATGAACAGAGGTCCTAAGGTGTGTATTAATCTATAAATTTATTTCCTGATTCCCCTTATTTTACTTTACCTAATCTGTATTAAATTTATTATTATCATCTTATTACCATCATCTATTCGTACAACTGTCATTAATAATCTCTTAATTTTAGTACTTATTATTCATTGACAGTCATTGTAAAGCGTGAAACCAGTGTATTTTAGCCCTATTCGACATACAACATTGGCGCAACGAGATGAAATCATCAAGAAAGTGGGGGAAAGGGTCGGGACACTGTCAGCATTGATAAGAAACGACTAAACGTTGAGGATTTATTTCAGGATGAAATAATAAGAGGGTCAGCGAGAAAATAGTGGGACTCAAAGTTTAGACTAAGATTGAAAAAGAAAGTATCCGCCTCACTTTCCATCCTCCCTACAGTTCAAAAGTATGACTAAAAAGGCCAGTCGGTTATTATTTTCTGTATATATACGATATCATTATAAATGCCATTGAGTTGATCTGAGCAAATGGAGAGAAGCCACGAAATAAATGACTGCCACGATCTTTATTCTCGTTTCACTCATATAAAGTTACTTTTGTCACATAGATGTTTTTTAGTTTTTCTCTGTATATATGTTACTTCCTTACGCCTGTTACCCCTCGTTGGAGAGGATAGGTCGCCCACCAACATTCTCCATCCAACTCTGTCTTAATCAATCCTTTACAGTTACTTACAGTTGTTATTCATCCTTTTCAATTCTGCTCTCGATTCCCCACACAGTGTGTTTTCCGACCTTCCTCTTTTCCGTTTCCCTTCAGGACTTCAGATAAGCGCTTGCTTCGTCACACAGTTTGGTGATTTCCTCAATATGTGTCCTAACCACACCGAGCGGCTTTTCCTAATTTCCTCCTCAGATGGAACCCAGTTTGTTCTTTCCCACAGAAGGCTGTTGCTGATGGTGTCCGCCCAATGGTTGTTGTGTACCTTGAGTAGGCAGTTTTTTATCAATACTTGTATCATCTTGATGGTGGTTGTAGTAGTTCTCAAAGTTCCAGCTCTGTACGGTAGAACTATATTGACGTTTACATTAAGGATTCTGACTTTCATATTAGTTGACAGTTATTTCGAGTTTCATGTGTTCTTCAACTGTAAGAATGCTGTCCTTGCATTGTCAATCCCTGCCTATATGTAAATATATATCACAGAATGATTAATTTGTTATATTTATATTATTATTATATATATATATATTATATATTTCACTGCAGTTTCAATTATTGTTTCATTATTTTATTTCAAACTTATAGGATAGTTTACGTTTAATCAATCTATTATTTAAATTTGGTCATTTAACTGAAATTCGTGAAGTGATACGTGAAGGTTTAACTAAAATACATTTGGATAATTGGTTACTTGTTATACAACAATTATTAGCTCGTATTGATACACCTAGAGAATATGTTGCTACTATCATAATTGATTTGTTAATATCTGTTGGACAACGTTATCCACAGTCTATGGTTTATCCGTTAGTATTAGCATTTAAATCTGGTGGCTCTGATCGTCGGCGTTATAACGCTAATCGTATTCTTTACAGTATGGAAGAACAAAATTCACGTTTGATATCAGAAGCATTTTTAGTAAGTGTTCATTATTAAACAATAAGTTTATTGATCTATGTATAATATTAAAAATAGCATTTTTAAAGGATGCAATTCAACTGACGGTGGTTGAGTGATTCTAACAATTCTATTTTCGACTGATTAATCGGACAGTATTGTTAAAAAGGTTATTATGCATGAAGTTTGACTGAAAATTAAGTACATAAATTACTTGCACATTTCGTAAGAGTTGCATTAACTATTAAGTAGAAAAGGAGGTAAATTAAACTCCACTTAACCAATGCATTCATATTATTTCTACTTCTGACTATTTTGATTTTGTCATTATAATTCGATGGAAAAAAATATACGATTTAGTAAATAGTGATGTGAACTTAATTCTGTTGACTAAATTTCAATCTTCCTGATGAACCTTGATCACCTATTGAGAGGTAATACATAATATAATATTTACTACCTACTGCAGAATAACCAGATAATAGTTTCCAAATGTTATGGATTGTTTTTTTTTCATTACTTCAAGCCATAACTAGTGGTCCTGCAATAATAGTCCAGATTTCAAAAGTGTTAGAACATACTCTTTATGATGCACTCATTTCCATCAAGGTTTCTACACTGTACACTTTATTTGATGTTTTTTCCAACTAATTTATATGATATTTTACCACAAATCTTATCAAAATACCTTTAGAAAAACTTATTTTTCGATCGACTTGGGTTCATTGATTCTTTCTACTTACCATCATGTAACATTCAAGCTCGATTGAAACGGTATCATAGACACTTTCCTGTTGTCATAGCTCAGTTACTAAGTATAACACTGTTTAAACTTCAGCATCATTTTAAATTTAAATATTAACTGTTAGCTATGTTTCATGGTGCTTTGCACTTCACGTGAACTGGATTCTATTGATTTCCATGTAGGCATCAGTATCTAGCTTTTTAAATATTTTGCAATCTGGTTGCCAATATTTTCACATCTTCAGCTGTATGGTCCTAAATCTAATTTTGTCCACATAAAATTGTTTGAATTTATTTTTTTTTAATTCGAAGTTTTCTGAAGCATTCAGTAAGGATATTATCATTGGAAATCCTACTTATGTTACTCAAAGTTATTCGATTGGTTAGTTCTACAAACCGTTTACCGTAATCTTGGTAGTATTTTATGTATGTTGAGTGTTTGGTGTTAGTCAACAATGTTTGAACTTCACAAGGATCACTAGTTTCAAAATTGAAGATAACAGAATTCACTGGTAACTATCTTTATCACGTAAAATCTCATCATAGTATACACAATGCTGAGTCTCTTAGATTAATGACCATACTACACCTGGGACCGTAGAATCCGATTAGCACAAGAGGACTAGATAAAAGTCATGACATTAGCCAGTCACTACCTTTCACTGGCCAGTCGATTGTGTATACGATAAACGTTTCACTCAAACTAATTATGCGTATATTAAGATCAATACTAGTGAATAATACCATTCTGTTCTTTTTCTTTATTCTAGCTAAATGAAGAGTTAATTCGTCTATCGATAACATGGGTTGAAATGTGGTCAGAAGCATTGGAAGATGCAAGTCGTGTTTATTTCGGTGAGAAAGATATTGCGAAAATGTTTCGATTATTACATCCATTACATCAAATGATGGATCGTGGTCATGAAACAATTCATGAAGCAACATTTCTACAAGAGAATGGTAATGATCTTGTTGAATCTCGATTATGCTGCGAAAGATATGAGTTAACGCAAGTTAGAATTGACTTACAGAAAGCATGGGAAGGTTATTATACTTTGTATAGACGTGTAAGTCTTATTTGAAAATTCTTTTCATCATAATTAGTTTAAGTTATTAACATATATCTGTCATACTTTGTAACATCTTCAGCTTAAGTTTATAAATCAGATAAAGTTAACGATATTTATTCAAAGTTGCTGTTATAATTGACCATTTTACTGCATTCTTTGATCAATCAATAGTGTTACATTTTGTATCCTAGAAAACTCAGTGCCCTGCAAAAGAAGATTTAGATAGAAACCAGATTTCACATACTATCTTGTTTAAATGTACATCGTAAGGCATTAGAATTTAACGAATTTATCTATGTATAACTAATTATTCTACTGTGGCGCTTTTTTAATTGAGATCATCAAACCTATTTCTTTCAACTGGTCTCAGAGTTAGATACTTTTTTCCCTTTTTGTTTATCATGCGATTCGACTTTTTTTTATCGTTTTCAACAGTTCGCCAAGCAAGTAAACAACATGACAACTTTAGAACTTACAGTGTCCTCACCTCGTTTGCATGAATATGGACAAGATTGGCAGTTAGCAGTACCTGGAAGTTATGAGCCTCACCGACCACTTGTAAGAATAGCATCAATTAAGAATTGTTTAACTTTTATCACCTCCAAACAACGTCCACGTAAATTAACGATCACAGGTAGGTTGTGGATTCATACACTTGACCATTTGTAGACCTATAATTTATTCAAGTGTCCTCGTATGATTAAGTAGTGTTGGCGATATAAAGATACTTGTAGCCTAAAAGTACTTTGATTTATCTAGCTTTCTGCTTATGGATGTTGTTTCTTCCCTGCAAGGATAACTAGGACAATATTTTCCCAATTCATATTTCTTCACTGACCTGTGCTGTTATTTGATTGTTTGTTCTCACTTTTAGTGTACTAACATTACAGCGTATCAAGGACATGTTTGATACTATATTTACAGAATTGTTCTACTTCAGATTTGCTTACTTGAATATCAAGCTTTTCTTAAAGTTTCGGCTTGTCTTTATGTTCTGTCGTGTTGCAGTTTGTTATCGAAGTATTGTGTATCGATCGCTCGGTTTGTTGAGTTGACATTAGATTCTGTCGTGTTAAACGAATCCCAATTTTTATTAACTAGAAATTAACGTAAGCTTCAGTAGAAAACTTTACAAGATATAATAATATCCTCGAGGATATTGAGGATAATCTCTTATGCCCTCTTTAATCTGTATTTATCATATTTACCATTTCATTACATCAGACAATTCTCTTCTCGACTCTGTTTCACATGTTAATTTCCTCTTTTTCTCTGCTCTAAAGTATGGTCATTTGAAATGATACACATTCTGTGTCACATTGAACTAACTGTCTAGATGTATTATATGTACACCATTCTTGTTTGTATATTTTTCTCATTCTGAATATTTTCTGCCATTTTAGCTAGCTAATCACGCGTTTAATCTAAGTTGTATATATGTCTTTAAAAAAAACTGCATTTTGTAAAATTTAATACCACATTACCAGTTAATTTCTTTTAATTGTTAAAGTTGGATTCCCGCCTTTAATATATTCAGATGTTTCAGTGGATGAAACCGTTATTAAATTTCTGATTTCACAGATCACGAATCATCATTAAAACTATGGGATTTATGATCGATCTAATGTTAATTTTTTCAACTATTTTACATTTTGACATTTTTTTGATAAACTTTAAACCTAAGCTACGCTTGAAATGTAAGATACACATGGGTCTATTTAGTAATCAACGTTATAATCGGATGTGTTATTTACAATTTGTTTGGATCGTCACTAGTTCTCTACGAATCAATTGTGTTAAATATTTTGGTATAAATATTAAACTGGTTTGTAGGTTAATTTCTTATTTGATAGGATGAATTCTATCAACGTATTCATCCAAACTTACTTACTTACTTACGCCTGTTACCCCTTGTGGAGGAGCATAGGCCGCTCACCAGCATTCTCCATCCAACTCTGTCCTGAGCTTTCCTTTCCAGTTCTTTCCAGTTACTATTCAGCCTTTTCATATCGGCTTCTATTTCCCGGCGTAGTGTGTTCTTTGGCCTTCCTCTTTTCCGCTTCCCTTCCGGATTCCAAGTTAGGGATTGAGTCGTGATGCACATTGGTGATTTCCTCAATGTATGTCCGATCCACTTCCAACGTCTTTTCCTAACTTCTTCAGCTGGAAGTTGGTTTGTCCTCTCCCATAAAACGCTGTTGCTGATAGTATCCGGCCAATGGATGTTGAGTATTTTGCGTAGACAACTGTTTATAAATACTTGTACCTTCCTGATGATGGCCGTAGTAGTTCTCCACGTTTCAGCTCCATACAGTAGGACTGCCTTGACGTTCGTATTAAAGATTCTCACCTTGAAATTGGTTGAGAGTTGTTTTGAGTTCCATATGTTCTTCAATTGTAGAAATGCTGCCCTTGCTTTGCCAATTCTCGCCTTTACATCTGCATCCGATCCTCCTTGTTTATCAACGATGCTCCCCAGGTACTTGAATGTTTCCACCTCTTCCAGAGTTTCGCCGTCAAGTGTGATTGGGTTGGTGTTCTCCGTGTTGCATTTGAGAATCTTGCTTTTTCCTTTGTGAATGTGGAGACCTATCGATGCAGAGGCTGCGGCTACATTTGCTGTCTTCATCTGCATTTGGTCGTGTGTATGAGAGAGGAGGGCTAGGTCATCTGCGAAGTCCAAATCATCTAATTGATTCTGAGCTATCCATTGTATTCCGTATTTCCCTCCAGATGTCGAATTCTTCATAATGCAGTCAATCACTAGAAGGAAGAGAAATGGGGAGAGTAGACAGCCTTGTCTGACTCCGGTCCTTACTGGAAATGCATCTGTCAGCTGACCTCCATGCACCACTTTGCACTGTAATCCATCGTATGAGTTTTGGATAATGTTGACAATCTTTTCAGGAACTCCATAGTGTCGAAGAAGTTTCCATAATGTTCTCCTGTCCACGCTGTCAAACGCCTTCTCATAGTCAATAAAGTTGACGTATAGTGATGAGTTCCACTCAACTGATTGTTCAACGATGATCCGTAGTGTCGCAATCTGGTCTGTGCACGACCGATCCTTACGGAATCCAGCCTGATGATCCCTAAGTTCAGCGTCTACTGCGTCTTTCATCCGATTCAGCAGCACTCTGTTGAAAACTTTTCCTGGTACTGATAACAAACTGATACCTCTGTAGTTCTCACATAGGCTCAGATCTCCTTTCTTTGGTATCTTGATGAGATATCCTTCTTTCCAGTCCGTTGGCACTTGTTCCTCTTCCCAAATCTTTTTGAATAGAAGGTGAAGCATGTTTTCAGTTATTTCAATGTCTGACTTCAGTGCTTCTGCTGGTATATTGTCAGGTCCTGCCGCCTTCCCACTTTTGATTTGTCTGATGGCCATCTTGACTTCTTCGATCGTTGGTGGAGTGACATCTATTGGAAGGTCTGTGTGGGCTGCTTCGATGTTCGGTGGATTCAATGGGGCTGGTCTATTCAGCAGTTCCTCGAAGTATTCTGCCCATCTTTTCCTCTGTTCTTGAATCTCAGTGATTGTCTTTCCTTCTTTGTCCTTGACTGGTCTCTCTGGTTTGCTATATCTCCCTGCCAATTTCTTCGTTGTATCATATAGTTGTTTCATATTCCCTTCTCTTGCAGCTTTTTCCGCCGTCGTTGCTAGTTCTCCCATGTATTTCTGCTTGTCGGCTTTAATGCTTTTCTTCACTTGCTTGTTTGCTTGTGCTTTGACTTTCTCTGCTCGTGTTCGGCTGTTGTTAATTGCTAGTCTCTTGTTCTTCCTTTCTTGAATTTTGTCCAGGGTTCCCAGAGAGATCCATTCCTTGTGATGATGCTTCTTAGGACCAAGAACCTCCTGACACGTTTAAGTTAGTGCTTGTTTTATCCCTTTCCAGTTGTCCTCCAAAGTAGTTTCTTGTTCTTTCAGTAAATCCTGTAGAGCTTGGAACCTGTTGTTGAGAGTTATCTTGAATTCATGGAGCTTGTCAGCATCTCGAAGGAAGGCTGTATTAAACCTTTGTAGTGCTGTTTGTCCAGTTGTCCAGCCTTTCTTTAGCTTCAGTTTCATCTTGGCCACAACCAGGTGGTGATCTGAAGCTATATGTGCTCCTCTCCGGGTTCTCACATCTTCCATTGATCTTCGGAATTTTTTGTTGATACAGATGTGATCTATCTGGTTCTCTGTGGTGTGGTCCGGTGAGATCCATGTAGCTTTGTGTATGCGTTTGTGTGGGAATATTGTGCCGCCTATAACCAATTTGTTGAAAGCACATAGGTTTGCAAGTCTCTCCCCATTTTCATTTCTTTCTCCTAGTCCATGCCGTCCGATTATATCTTCATATCCTGTGTTGTCCACTCCAACTTTAGCATTTAGATCTCCCATCAGGATGGTGAGGTCCTTTCGTGAGCACTTTGCTACAATTGATTGCAGCCTTTCATAGAACTGATCTTTATCATTGTCGTTGCTATCATTGGTGGGTGCATAACATTGGATAACGTTCATTGTGATCCCTTGCTTCTTTGTTCTGAATGATGCTTTGATTATCCTGGGTCCATGAGATTCCCATCCCACAAGTGCATTTCTTGCTTCTTTGGACAGCATTAGAGCAACTCCCTGAGTGTGTGGAGCATTTTCCCCTTCGTGACCGGAGTACAGCAGCATCTCTCCTGTACCTAGCCTTTGTTGTCCAGTTTGTGTCCAATGGGTTTCGCTGATTCCGAGTACTGCCAAGTTGTATCTCCTCATTTCCATTGCTATTTGGCTGGTCTTTCCTGTCTCCCACATTGTCCGGACGTTCCATGTACCTATAAAGAGTGTTGCTCTGGTTGTTAGAAGGTGCATCAATCTCGTGACTTCCGAAGAATTTCGGCTTTCATCATGAGACGTCATTATTCCTTCAACTCCCAGGGCAGAGTTTAAATGGTTTGAATTATTTTTTCTGGTTAGCGTTTTTTTAGCGAGTTAACTTTTCTACGGGATGGGGTCGCTAACCCCATGCCCAACCCTCCTCCATTACCCGGGCTTGGGACCGGCAGTAACTCTAGAAGAGCTACAGACGGAGTTGTATTCATCCAAAGTACAACTTTAAATAATTCGATAATTAAAACCGACCTCCGATATAGTTGAAATCAATGATTGTCTAGTTTTCTCGTTATATATATATATATATGGATTGAACGGTAGACTGTTTCTCTCTACCATTGAACTTTAATAATCCTGTTAAATGTATTGTAATCAGATGATAAACGGGAGTAACTTGACTGTTTTTGTCAAAACTAATGGAATTAATTTTTTTTGATTACGATGGCGGTTTTTTCCTATGTGAAAGTGTATTCATTGGCGTTTAATTCAGCTTGTTAATTATGCAAAAATATTATATGACACGACTATATTTCCATTCAAAAAATCTTAAAAGAATGGTAGAGACTGTATTCCGTCAATAAAGCTATCAGGAATTTATTGAATAATTTTAACTCTAAAATTTTGTTTTAATTTTTTTTCTATCTATGAGTAATTTACATTGAAATTCCACTTTCTGTTGTTCAGGTTCAAATGGTCACCAATACGTGTTTTTGTTAAAAGGACATGAAGATACTCGTCAAGATGAACGTATTATGCAATTTTTCGGACTTGTAAACACATTGTTAATCAATAATCCGGAAACGTTACGTCGTAATTTAACGTAAGATGAATGCTCACTCTTTAATTATATATTTGAGATATATTTTCGTTTCGAGTTTCAATATGTTACGAATCATTTTGACTTCTTAGTAGACTCATTAAAATTACTAGAATGAATTTTTTTTTGACTGATACTTTAATCGTTAGGGGATCGACTATCAAACATAAATCGAAATGATTTTAGAAGACGAAACCATTGGCTGATTGATTAACTGTGTGTACAAATATCCACTAGGAAATTTAGAGTAGGTAGTCGTAATAAATGTAATTAACGGTCAAGAAACTCTTGCGCTGTTCAGAACGTACTCTTAGTAGCAACTAATTCTTCTGTGTATGAAGACTGGGAAAGAACATAAACACACTTGAATTTGTCAAATTATGAATAAAGTGAGTAATTATGGACAAAGGAACTACGGTTCCGAATAAACATTACAGAATTTTCTTTTTTATTATGTGCAAAGTGGTCGAACAACTTATAATGCCCATAAGTTGCTTGTCAATTCACGAACGAGAATGACCAAGAACAAAAAAATGGAAGAATATAAAATAACTAGTGATTATTCACTTCTGTCCATGTAAACGAAGAGAAAATGACTTTCTTTGTGGTTGAATAACGAGTAAATGGTGTAGCTTTATGTGTGAAAGTTACTAACAGTCAGTAGTCTCCAAGTATTAAGTCGAACGCAAATGAGGTAATACATGAACTATCAGAATTCGCGAAGGCCGGTTTACATGAGACCTGCTTTTGTATGGTTAGCGAACATTATACTAATGTTGACGTTATTATAATGAGAGCCTATGTCAATCATCGATGAGTGTATCATAAAAAGTCTTCCGACTAGGTTGAACCCAAAGAATGGACAATCACTAAACTTACATGTTAATTTTGTAAACAATATTTTACTGAAGTTTTCGAAATTCTTTCTTTTTCTTATCACAAAGGATTCAACGGATGTCTGTTATTCCATTATCTACTTACACTGGATTGATTGGTTGGGTTCCAAACAGTGACACATTCCATAATTTGATACGTGATTATCGGGAAAAAGCTGATGTTGTGCTAAACAAAGAGAATCGTGAAATGCTTCGTTTGGCACCAGATTTCGATCGTCTAAATGTTATACAAAAAACTGAAATATTTGAAGCTGGGTTAAGAGAGTCATCTGGGAGAGATTTAGCTAATATTTTATGGTTAAAAAGTCACAGTTCTGAAGTGAGTATACTTATATGTTCTCCATTTTCTTATATTTTACTCACATCCTTTTACACCTTTAATTTGGGTTTTGGTGATAGATAAAGAACAAATGTCGGAAATCTAATCATAACTAGCTTTGAGCGGTAACTCCCGGCGTTCTAGTTAGAAGCCGTGATCAGTGAAGTTCAAACATATCAAGCATGAGGCGAATGACAATGGATAATGGTCACTCAGTATAGCAATTTGACTACATTTAAGGATATGAAATACGAGATGGGAACTCAATGGTCTGAAGGATAAGCTCTCGTCATGAAGCTTGAAGAACATGAGATGTCTACTACTGACGAGTCTTATAATCAGACAAAATGGCTGTTTAAACCTTCCTAGTTTTCAATGGTTCTTTAATTAAAATCAGTTCATGATGTGAAACCTGAAAAATAAGTAAACTTAAAGTTTTCTTTAAAGTTCTCGTACATCCTATTCTATAAAGTGACATTTTTTGCTAGTAAATTTTAGCTAACTTATACAATGACATTCTTCGTTGTTAAATGGTTTTCAAATCGGTCACGACACACAAGGATCTATTGCTTAATAAACTGTTACATATAGAAACACTTTATTTAATCAATAGATCTACTGGTCTTCACTTGTTCCTTCTTCATAAATGTTTGTCATCACATTTGAAATTATATAGGTTTGTAACTCAGGTGGATGATTTTGGTAGAGTTTTCTTTAATGAAATACGAGACCGACCCGTGAACGGAAATGAACAAGCTCTAGATGTACCTGAGAAAATCGTCAACATCATACTTAATTCATACGATGAACTATACTGCAAGATCGTGCATGGAGGACAGCTAACAGATGCATTCAAAGTGAGGACTGGAGTTAGAAAAGGCTGTCTACCCTCCCACTTCCTTTTTCTTCTGATGGTTGACTGCATTATGAAGACCTCGAAATTTGACGGAAGCACGGAACGAAATGGACAGCTTGGAATAAACTAGGTGATTCGGACTTCGCAGATAACTTGGCCCTTCCATCCCATACACCTGAACAAATGAAGATGAAGACAACTAGTGTAACAGCAGCAGTAGCCTCAACATACACACAGGAAAAAGTGAGATCCTCAAATACAATACGGAGAACACCAACCTAATCTCACTCGATGGAGAAAATCTGGAAGATGTGGAACCTTTCACGTATCTGTACAGCATCATCGATGAACAAGGAGGATTTCATGGGGACGTAAAGGGAAGGATTGGCAAAGTAAGGGCTGCATTCCTACAATTGAAGAACATATGGAACTAAAAACAACTGTCTATCAACCAACATCAAAGTCACAATCTCCAATAAAAAATTCAAGACAGTTAGTTCTATTGTACGAAGCTGGAACTTGGAGAACTACTACAACCATCATCAAAAAGATACAAGTATTGATTAAAAAAACTGCCTACGCAAGGTATACGACATCCATTGGGCGGACACCATCAGCAACAGCCTACTGTGGGAGAGGACAAATCAGGTTCCAGCTGAAGAGGAAATTAGGAAAAGACATTGGAGGTGGATGGGACACACATTGAGGAAATCATCAAACTGCGTGACGAAGCAAGCGCTTACCTGAAGTCGTGAAGGGAAACGGAAAAGAGGAAGGTCGGAAAACACACTGTGTGAGGAATCGAGAGCAGAATTGAAAAGGATGAATAACAACTGTAAGTAACTGTAAAGGATTGATTAGGACAGAGTTGGATGGAGAATGTTGGTGGGCGACCTATGCTCTCCAACGATGGGTAACAGGCGTAATTCTTTTTCTAAGTTGAATGATTTGGTCACGACAAAACCACCCAGGACAGAGAACAAATCTGTACTAATGTAATCACGATTCTTTATATCTCAAACATCGCCAATGTTCTCTTTCATGAACTAATAATTCTGCATAGAATAGTTTTGTTAAAGCTTTTTAAATCCCTCAATAGTACATATTCATATGCATGATAAAAATGATAATATGTTAAATAGTGTTGTTCAAAGTATCCAGCAAGCGCATTGAAGATTTCCCATTGACATTCTTTCATGGTGATGTGTGATATTGAAAGTAAATATGATTAGCCACTGATTTCGGACTAATATTGACTCAACTTACTATTAAATATGTGGTTTCCTTTCCGTTCATGGATTTTTTTTCTGGAATCACTGCGAGTGACAGCTTATAATTGTATTAAATAGGATATCGTTTAGCATTCACTCTAGTTCTTTATTCGTGGTCGTGAATTTGATATATGATATATAAAATTATCGAGTCTGTGGTTACCGTATCAATCAAGTATCCACTCTCGCGGTAGTTTAAAAAATTCGTCACTATTGTTATTACCTCATGCAGACGTAAAAATGTTTTAATTCATCTGTTATATCACGTGGATAATCTGGATTTTTTACGTTTTGTAATTTTTCAAGAAGTTTATGATATTTTTTCTGTTTTAGGCATGGTTTGAGCGTAGAACGAATTTTACACGATCTATGGCTACCATGTCTATGGTTGGTTATATTTTGGGGTTAGGAGATAGGTAGGTTACTTTACTTAGTCATCTAACTACACTGATTTGTATGTTTCTTTAATAGTAATGATTGTGAAAATAACAGTAATCACCCTGATCAAGACCGTGTGATCTAATACAAATACATAAATATCAGCACAAAATATTCAGTAATCCTTTTTTTTAAACTTGTATAACACCTTTTGCATTCTGATCTGGAAATTAGATTAAAGATATTCCTCTTAACTACCACAACATTCGTTACTGAGTTTTGTAATAAACTAGATATAAATTTAAAGACTCGTTCATTGAAAGCATTCTGTAACTACCTTAAGTTTACTACAACTACAAAATTGATTAGTTTCAAAATATTACTTTTTTTATTTATCTAAGTTAATAAATATTGGTACAAGGAGGCACCAAATATGCACACGCCACACAAATCATTTAATTTTTGTGAGGCCTGGGATACTTCTCGGGAGCCCAACCCGAAGCAAGTGGTTTTCTTAGGAGTCCACTCCTCGAGCATTTAACCTAAATATCTAATCCACAAGGCAGTGGAGCAACGTAATGGGATGCAGTCCCATGGTAGCCGGTGACCACCAACAAGTTCATACGCCACTTGTTCCTTCGGGATCCTGGACCTCATTTGTACTGCTAGTTCAGAATCACAGTTTCCTATCTCTCCCAGGTAGATCCACTAACTCAGTTTAAGTGCCAGACATTTTCTTTTCATCCTCAGTTTCACAAACAGCACCCCTGCTACGAGAAGGAAGTGAGTAGAACTTCCTTGACAGTGGCTGTATACGTTTGGTCATATGAGAGCATTTTAAGGAGAACTGACTCTCCCCACTCTCAGCCGTACCAGGACATTTTAAATAAGCACTGCATAAACTATACATAATTTCAGTTGTAATGATATTTTGCACCATTATATTGTAATGAATGAAAACTCAGGTGGAAAAGACTAATTTGTTGTTTAATGCAAAATTACAGAGTGCTTTCGTAAAATATGAAAGCCATTCATTGAATACATCAGTTGTCGTTTACGTGCTTCTTGATTCTTTCAATAGCATTGTTGTGACAATTACCTTCTGTTTTCTTTCCTGTTTTCGTCAATTGGATCTTCTCAATCTTCTGCTGGCATGCATTCCACTTCTAATTAGTATTACAGAATACTTATATTTGTCGACATAAGTAACATACACCACAATATCTATTACATTGATGATAGTAAACAGTGCACTGTTTTCAGAAAAGATTCAATACAAAAAGTTTGTGCAGTATTTATTTATGGACTTATCGTAGTATATTTATGTAAACAGTATTGCAATGTACATTTTTGCAGGCACATAGATCTCTGATTTGTATCTAGTTTGTCTTCAATCCCGATTCTGTCTGGTTATTTGTATCTTAGTATATGCTTTCAAATGCCTGATGCATTGTTTGAAAATCAACTTTACTATGTATGAATATGTGTGTCTCTTTACATTCTCAACATAATTCATCAGTAGTATCTGTCATTTTAATTACATGTCTCACTTCATTCTACTGTAATTTATAGGCATCCATCGAATATAATGTTGTCTCGAGTGACAGGCAAAGTGGTGCATATTGATTTTGGTGATTGTTTTGAAGTAGCTACAATGAGAGAAAAATTCCCAGAGAAAGTACCATTTCGGTTAACACGTATGATTATTTCTGCTATGGAGGTAATTATAAATAGTTGAATTTAATATATAACTTTTTTCTTTTATTAATGGATTTTTATTTTTGAAGTTGAATTATCTTGTTATCTATCCTTTAATTTTAGCATCGGTGGTATTATCCAAATATTTGAGATGGGACCTATATTCTGTTTTTGATACGTATAGGTTCGTTTAATGAAGATTCTATAATCACTCTAGTCTTGCACTTTTACATATTGATCTTTAAAATCTACTTTTCGTTCATCCTACTGCTTACGAGTTAAGATATCCTATAGTTTACTTATTTCCAATAAAGCCTGTCACTCGATATTTAGCTAAATATTCCAAGTAATTCCGATTGACTATTTTAAGCTATATACTTGGCCCAACAGCTATAGCAAAGTTAATTCGATTGTTTCCCTCAATTGTATCAATCAATTCTCCATAGTTCACGTACTTTATTTTTGAATGCACAATTCACCGTCATGTAACAAAACTGCACAGTATTTGAATATCTTTATTTTGTGACAAACACTATGTATACTACAAGGTAAGTATAGGAAACTTATTTGGTGCAAAACACTTATCAAGTAGAGATTTATATAATCAGCCTTGAGCTATATTTTATTTGTGCAAGCTAGCAATACTATCCGACTCTCTAAAGCAAAGTAAATGGTGTATGGCTTCAACCTACTCCCTAGTGATTGGAAGTCAAACTAGTAAAGTAATAAATAAGGTTATCGGATAAGTTTACTTAATAGCTCCAAGATTACCTATGTCTGATGTTTTAAATAATCATTGAAAAGCCATCGTTTAAAACTATTATTTATAGTGACTGAATTTTTATTCAATTAAGCTCGCGTTGTTCACAATCATTTCTTCTACATATTTCTTTGATTTTTTGATGCGAGGAAAGTAGCTGTTAGTCGTAAATAACACTAGTTTTAGTCTTTATACCAAACTCAGGAGGATTTTATTTTTGTATGTTATTATTATTTTAACACAGAAATATTGATACAAAAGCGCACCGAATAGGTATGCCCCAAACAAGTCACTTGACTTGTGTGTGGGCTGTGATACTCCCCAGGTGCCCAAACTGAAGCAGGTGGTTTCCTTAGGGGGTCACACCCGGAGCCTTTGACCTAAAGGTCTGATCCACAAGGCAGTGGAGCATCGTGAGGAGATTCAGTCCCATGGTAACCGGTTACCAATGATTGGTTCACACGCCATTTGTTCCTTCAGGATACTGAAGCCCATGTGCACCATTGGTTTGGAATCAGGGTTTTCCAACTCCCCTAGGTGGACTTTCCGTGTCCACCAACCCGATTAAAGCACTGGACATTCGCTTTTCGTCCTCTCAATCTCGTAAGCACTACCCCTGTCACGAGAAGGCAGTGGGTAGAACTTCCTTGACGGTTGCTGTATACCTGTGGCCATGTGAGAGCATTTGGAGAAGGAGAGTGGACTCTCCCCACTCTCGGTCGTACTAGGGCATTTGCGATCAAACCCCCCAAATGATTCAACTAGTCGATGATCAAGTTCAAGAAATAAATTTATGCTTTCTGATGTAGAATATCGCGGTTTAAACTCAGAATTCGATTTCTACTATTTAATCCAAAAAAGTTTTTAATATATCCTAGTGCTATCTCCCCACAGGTTTGTTCCATTTAATTCAATAATTCTGTTCATCCCCTCTGATCCTTTCGAAATAATAATTTGGTAACTAAGTTCACCTACATATTTATTTTAGGTGACAGGAATAGATGGTGTTTATCGCCATACCTGTGAAATGGTTATGTCTCTTTTACGTTCCAATCGTGAAAGTCTTCTTGCAGTTTTAGAGGCATTTATTCATGATCCATTGTTACAGTGGGTACTCCATGAAAACCGTAAAGAATTTAATCACTTAGAAAATAAGCTAGACGACGGAGGTGGTGGTGGCGGCGGTATAGCTCCAGCAATTGGAACAAACTGTTTGGCAAATGGTACTGGTGGCGGTGTTCATGGTGTAACAACTGCTAATAATCAGTCAGTACAGTTGAAACCTGGTGCACGCAATTCAGATTATCCACATAGACAAGTGTATGCTCATCAACAGGTAAACTTATGGATTGATTTATGTATGCTGCACTGTATATCCATGCACACTAACAGGTATACTTATTATCTTGTATTTTCAGCAGCTTTCATTAACAAGCTCTTAATACAAGGTTGTGAAGGAATCCATTTCTGCAAGAAAGATATCTTTTATTTGTTTAATACAAATCTTTGCTCTTTTATATTTGGTACTTGTTAATACTTAATGATGAGTTGTTCATTTAGTTAGTGACTATTTCCTAAAACAAGTTTATGCCTTGATTTCAGTGAGTTTTATTTATTACACCAACGAAATATTATTATTATCAAAGGGAAGGAATATTCCTATTAGATTTCTGTAAAGGGCGATTTGTGCTTTACTCTCAGACAAGTAAACATTAAACTGTAATACAAATGAAGAAAAAAGTCAATACTGAGTGCAATTTTATTTTCACCATAGATAGTTTTGGAATTTATGTATTATTAGATACAGTTCATGTTTGACTAATCACCTCATCAGTAACACCCTTTTTCATCGATATCATAAATTAATCTAAGTTAGATCATCATTTAAAACCTGGAAGCTCCCCAAAGCCTTTTCGTTCTTATATAACTCTTAGGTAGCGCACATCCACTAGCCGCGCACGCAGGATTCAAACCCATGACCTTCGGTCTGGCATGCGAACGCTTAACCTTCAGACCAATTGTGTCAGTTTCTAACCTCAATCAATCCAACACATTGCGCGGCCATTTTTCATTGTCTTCAGTGAGTAACTGCGTCACACTCGACATAGATTAACTCCACTGGTCAGAGGTTCCTTTTTTACTTAGTCCTTGTAATTATGTCTAATCATGTAGCTTTTATTAAAAATAATATACAGGAGTGTCCATCAAATAAAGATGTACGAATTGAATGTATTGTTGTTTTTAGAAATATTGGAAATGGATTTAGTTGTCGATGGAAAATGTAACTTCCATTCGGGAAGTAAGACAGATATTAACTAACATCATTATAATCGAGTTCTGTGACACCTAATCGTTAATTATCTGATATATATAGGCTTCGTTTCATGAAACGTATTGATGGTTCACTTGTAGATGAAAAATTGTATATAAAAAGGCAGAAAGGAATGGTTAATTAATAGAATATGTTTGGAACTCATTCTTCGCAAAGTCAGCTTAAAGTGTATCGTGAATTTAGGGAAACAGATTTGTTTTTTTATACTGGCTATTTGATGGCATGAAATAAATATATATAAATATATTTGTTTTGTTCACAAGTGACTGAAAACTTTAAATTATATGGTTGAAATGCTGTCACACTGTTCCAAATATATTTAATCTTTTGCTTTTATTAAGTTCTCTGGGCCCGATGGTTAAATTGCAGAGTTTCCACCGTCATTCTGGATAATATTGTCCGTGCTTACTTAGTATAGAAGTGAAGTTTTGAGTTATTTTACTAGCCTTTAACTCACTTTATTCTGCTGTCCTTACTTGTAATTGTTATTCTTCATAGGTTTTATTGTCTGCATTTGACTTTGTATTCAAATAGACTTTTTTTCTGTTAACCTTTAATCATAATGTTAATTGATCTTATATTAATATTTTGCCAGATGAGATCCAATTCACCGTCTTTCCTTTTCAACAACTCGGTTTCCATTTTTCATTTTCTACTTTTCAACCATATCCTCTTATCTAGCCTTTCTTATTACCATTCATAATGCTTTTTTCGGGCCCTTTTCTATTCATCTTGTTGTGTTGATGTAATGTGGCAGCTTCACATGATCTGTAAGGTGGTGATTGGTAGAGGTAGTGAAAAAGAAACCCTCAATCCAGGTTCTGTGCTATGTGATACTCGTCAGCAAGATGTACTTGTGCTCTATATGCCTAAATCATGTTTTTAGATCTTGACGATTAGTACTGTGATAACTATCATGAAATAGTATTTAGTGCATTGTAATTATTATATTTGTGAGATGTGTGTACGAAAACGATAAGGCAATTGCTTATTTTTATAGCTCTACTGTGGATAGACCTCCGTATCTTATGTAGTTCGGTCGTATACTACAAGTTATGGCAAATCCTCACCAGTAATATCCACAGTTTAGTGTTGTTTTAACCTATCTAGTTACTCAAGCAATAGTCCGTTGATCTTTCGAGTGACAGGAAGCCTAGGTCTATTTCTTAGTATTATTCAAGTAACTTAATAACTAGCACGATACATAAGCTTGTCGTCGCCTGTAACCGTTCAACATCAAAATAAAGTGTACTCGATGTTCAATCGCTTTATCTACTTGTCATAGGGCGATTTTATCAGTAAAACTGAGCGAATAGTACAAACTAGACAACCATCATACTAGTTACTGGTTAGTATTGGTAATTTATTCTACCTGTTATGAGTTGTATTATAATTGGAAGTCGATTTATTTGATCATTGAACTGTTTCTCTAGTAAACTAAATGAACTCAGATCTTAATCATTTAATATAGTAATACAAAATGAAATTTAATTCATGCAAAGTAATACATTTAATGTTTATTGTTAACTACTTTTACTGAAAAAGTTGTTGATATCTTTGAATTTATCAGCAACTTGAAATTCTATGTAGCTTTGTTTGTATTTTTCTACATTAGCATCATGCTGTTCAAAATGCACTTCGACGTCCAACAGACAAAAGTAATAATTTAACCTCAGGTCAACAGAATTCACAAGGACATTTCCAACAGCAAAATTTGAATAGAAGAGCTAATTCGCCGAACAAGGTGTTTACAAATCCAAATCATCCAGACAGTGCTTCATTGCGTGATCCACAAAAGGTGAATCAATGGCGTCATCATTTGTGTAATGGACCTTGGTTTGGTTGTTATGAAACTGGTAGGTGTTTTAAATTATATTTTTTAATTTATTTATTTGGTAAGTATGAAAACTCTACCTCTTCCCTATTAAAGACTAATACGTCCCGAGTGTTAAGAACTGAAATCGGATGTTTAAATAAACAACTTACGAAGTTCTAGTCATCTAACTTTTAACTGGTGATGTATTATGCAAAACGTTCATGAAGATTTACGTTAAAAGATACCCTTATTAAAACGCTAATTTATGTAGAATAAATTTCCTCATAAATTTTGGTAGATAGCTATTCTATTCATTTGTTTTAATATTTACTTAGCTAAACGTTTAAGAAAGCAAATGGAATCCGGTCACATAGTAGTTGAACGTCATGGTAAGTTCTATTTGATTACATTTGGATTTGTGTAAACAGCATTATATGCGTATTCTTTTGCTTTCTTTAACCTAATGTATTCTTATAACTGTGAAACAGGATTTGTGGTTTTAATCTTCACCTTCCGAAACTTGATGGAGTGATGACTTAGTGGTTAAGTCCCTAGTTTGAACCTCACTCCAACTATTTCGCCTTAGGCAACCAGGTAATAGTATTATTAGCCCACGATTGAAGTGTGGCTCATACTTCGAGTACCTGCTGGATGAGTTAATTTAATTTTTACTCAAAACTATAGGTATGGCCTTTAGTTTCATCTTAATGTTCTGTCATTTTAGTCAAATTGTATCTTCAACACGTACATCTTTATATCTAAACAATACATTGTATTTATTCTTCTAGTCTATTATCCACGTTTGTCAATAATTTGACGTCTAGATTTGTAGCCCACGAAAATGATCTGCGTTCTTTGAGCTAAATTGCTTAGTTGTAAAGCGTTCATTCTGTTTCCTAAATAACACCATGTTAATAAAACAAGCTGTTGTTTGCTTATGAAGTTCTAACAGCTCATTTCTATGTGAAGTTTGTAATGATGATGTTGTCTAGAAAGGCAATACAACTTCAATGGCTAGATCACCCTGCTCACAGAACTCAACTCCACCAAAATCAATCTTACATTGTAACAAGTTGAATTCAATTATGTTCAGTACTGTTGAACCTAGACTAACTAAATAAAATTATCCCAAAGATGGAATAAATATTTTTCAAGCAGGAAATATAAAACTTATCATCTATATACCTTTAAGATCGGTAAAAATGATTTTCATATTTTGTATGGACAGGTAACCAATATGGTTATATTTTAGACTTTCATTTTAATAAATTTCTCCCAAAATATTCTTTTTACATTCCGGAGTTTTCATTAAAGCTGTCTTATCTTCTGATACCAGTTTAGTTGGAGGCTCATATTAATAATTTGGTCTCACGAACAGTTATTACTTGGCCACATTACATAATATCAGTCTTCAAACATTTGTTCATTACAAATCATCAAAGTCTAATTCAGAGCGAACAGAATCATGTCAGCAAAGAAGAAATGGTAATACTGTGTACAGAATTTGTAGAAGAGCTTATTGACAAACAAATTTATTTACTGAATATGTTGCTCTGTATTATCAGGCGGACCGTAAATACAATGATCTCTACTTTACATCTAATAATACCTGATGCTTATTATATATGTCTGCTAGTTATAGTAAACACCCGATTGTACTAAAGGTTTTTGCCAAATATGATTTATACAGTAATGTCGATATGATGTTTGATTTTTTTCAGGACTACAAGGGTTCATATTTTCTGCAAAACCTCCAAGCACTGAAGACTCATGTATTGATTCAGAATGTAAGTTTACTTCATACCTCAGATATCAGCCTGTTTTTAGAATGATTTATTTATTTAAACACATAAATATTGGTACAAGGAAGCACCAGATAAATATGCGCCTCACAAATCTCGTTCGATTTGTGTGAGGGCTGTGACACTGACCAGGTGCCCAGACTGAAACAAGTTGTTTTCTTAGGGGGCCACACCCCAAGCCTTTGACCCAAAGGTCTAGTCCACAAGGCAGTGGAGCATCGTGAGGAGATGCATTCCCATGGTAGCCGGTGATCAACGATTGATTCGTACGCCATTTGTTCCTTCAGGATACTGGAGCCCATGTGCACCATTGGTTTGGAGTCAGGGTTTTCCAACTCCCCTAGGTGAACTTTCCATGTCCACCAACCCGGTTAAAGCGCTGGACATTCGCTTTTCGTCCTCTCAATTTCGTAAACAACACCGGTGCCACGAGAAGGCAGTGAGTAGGACTTCCCTGTCAGAGGCTATATATTCGCGTGACCATGTGAGAGCATTTCGAGAGGGGGAGCGGACTCTCCCCACTCTCGACCGTACCACGGCATTTGGGGGCTTATTAGAATAATGAGTAGACTAGTAATTTTTTCATCGTCATCATCATTAGTATGTCTTAAAACTGTTCACATGAAAAAAATTTTTAAACAGCTAATTTTTCACTAAAAGTCAATACTGATTAAACTTATTTAAAATGTCAGTTTTTTGCAAAAAGGGAAAGATAATGATCGAACTATCAGTTTAGTCATTCGACTTTTAATTAGTTAGTGAACTATCAAAACTTCACCTACTTATCAAGATTTAGACTGACAGTTCATATCATTACCGTCTTCATACAGCAACTTTACATCAGAGCTTCGATTACCTAGAACGCCTATTTAGTTGTTATCATTTATTTTAATAAGATCTCAAATTAAAATGGGACTATTTTTAAACAATATTTTCTCTTTATTTTTTTCAGCCCAGCCTGTTACTTTAGGAAATGTACGTGCACGTTCTGTAATGGAAAGAATTAGGCAAAAATTGACTGGCACTGAAAGAGATCAAGTGATGAGCGTTTCGGCTCAAGTAGACTTCCTTATACGTGAAGCAACTTCAAATCAAAATTTATGCCAGATGTATATAGGCTGGTGAGTAGTTAGCTTTGTTTTATTTTTAAATGCAGTGTTGGTGACATTATAAAAGTGTTCTATCCGTCCTTGATCGACTGTATAGTTCAATTAGAATGACGGTTGTTTGTTTTCGCAATAACTATCATTATTTCAACAACTGGCAGTTTTCATTATTGACACTTCAGTCACTAGTGCAATTGTATCAATGTATTGTACTCCTACTCACTGCCTCCTCGCGGTGAGGGTGTTGTTTACGAAATTGAGACGACGAAAAGAGAATGTTTGAAGCGTAAACTGGGTTGGTGGATATGGATGATCCACCTAGGGGAATTGGAAAATCCTGGTCCAAGATTAGTAGTACAAATGAGCTCCGTGAACCCGAGGGGACAAACGGCGTATGGACCTGTTGTTGGTCACCCGCTAGCATAGGACTGCATCTCTGCCTTATGGGTAAAACATCTTGTTGAAAGGCTCAGGGAGTGGCCCCCTTAGAAAACTACCTGGATTTGTTTAGGCATCTGGAGAGTATTTTTGCACACACATAAACTCAATTATTTGTGTGGCACATACATGTTTTGGTTCGCCTTTGTACTGATGTTTGTGTGCTTAAATGAATAAATAATAAATGAGTATACACACGATTACATTCCCGTCGGCTGTTCACGATCAAGTTGTCATTCACTCACGTAAAGTTTTCCTTACAGCCCTTCTACGTTACTGACATTTCGATATTTTGATATTATTATTGCTGTTTTTCAAACATGAAATCCAGTCATACCATGATTTTAATGCTGCTACGGAAATCTTGTAAGGGAGTAAGGATATAAGCTAATCGTTATAACTATCAGTGTTTAAGAAGATTATTATTTGGACGTTAGTGGGAATGTAACTATAGATGAATTCCCACTCCTGCGAATGACATGTAAAAGACATGAAAAGGAAATTAGTTTTTGTTTGAAGAGAAAAACATTCAGAGATAAGTGAGTGTTGTTGCGGTACTCAACTTCTCACTATGGTGTTTTTCCCACTAAGTGGCACTCTAAATGTCTTCGAACAATTCACGCAGTAAAATAATCCTTTTCGATCAGTTCATTCTTAAAACTTACTTACTAAAACTTATCTTACTATTTTCCACAACTAACATGGATGAACAATACTTGAATATCAACAACAATTGAATAGTTTCACAAGCTTCTTACATCTAAATTGTAAGCATAACTTTATATAAATATTTATATTTAATCAATCCATTTATGCATATGATAACCACCTCAAATGTCTTATCCACCATAGAGGCTTTGATCTAAGCTATACTGTTAAACCAATCCACATCAGAAAACTACGATGTTGATAAACACTAAGTGTAATTGACCGTATTATCTATTTCGAAAATATTCCTAAGGATCTATCCGCCAAGTAAACCCATGAAGAGTTGTCAAGTAGCTTTTCATTTCAATTAACATAATTGGTATCTGTCATTAATTAACTGTAAACCATACAATATACATAGTCTAAAGTATTTCCGCACTGTGTATAATCATAGTAGTATATTTACGGAAATTTAATTTTGTTTGTTATATAGGTGTGCTTTCTGGTGATACACTAATTTTATTCAATGATCAATTCATCAATCAGCTATTGTATTTTTCTTTTAACGTTACCAGTGAATTATTTATGAAAGTGTAAATTTACTTTATCAGTTAACAAATTGGTTTTCATCTAAAACATTGTACATTTTTGTTGATTAAAAATACTTTCTTATTTAAAAGAAAAGCCAGGTTTTCTGATTTTTGCGTTCTTCCTTATTCAATAAAAATGAATCACTTCTATTAAATTTTGTTAGTGATGTTAGATACTTCTCAAAAGTAGTAGTAGTCGCCGTCGTTGCAGTAAAAGCATTAAGAGACTACAAATCTAAAGTAGTCAAGTTTCATCCATCATATTGGAAGCTTATGAAACGAATCTAATTATACCATACTGTAATAATCATTATTTATTCTAGTTCTGTAGAGTTGACCTAACGTAAATCTATGCTAAAAATACATTTTGCTTGAAATAACAATCTCATACATTAAGCATAGTCATTAAAAAACTAAAGATTATTATAGAAGTGAAAAAGATTTATCTTTAATTATCACGAAAATGTTCTGTACAACACATTGGATCTTCTGTTTTTGATATCAACATTTCCTTTTGGCTCGTTTCAATTTTCTTTTTCGATCAATAATACTACGTGTACGACGATTGTAGAACCATACTTGTATAATTGTTTTTTCAACATTTAATTTTTTAGCCAATTCTATCAATTCATATGCAGATAGTTTGTTATGCTGTCAAAAAAAAACAGCAACATAATTTTATAAGTTACGCGATGATTCTCTATCAGGAGTGAAAAATAACACTTGACTGATCGTAACAATGTTGTTACAAAATTAAATAAACTATGGTAAAATGTTCAGTCTCGATATTTGAAGTTCAGTAAGGGCCTACAATACTTTCAGAATTAGAAACAGTCGAGCTACCGGTTCTACTGTACAAATCGATAACAAAAACTGACACATAACACTTCATTACTTGTCTGCTGACACAGAACTGTAAATTGTGGAAAGACTTGATACTCGAAGTAGAATACGCAGAACAAAACGAAATTAGATAGTAACGAAAATATTACATTTAAACATACAAAGTTTTAGCAAACCAAAAACGGCGGCAGTCGATCACAAAAAAGCAGACGTCATGCAGAAAAGTAAATTACAAAAATGAAACTTGCGGTTGTCGTTTCTAGCAAGATCTTACCATTGTTAACAAACGTGGAGTAATCTTATGGTCGCCTTCGCAGGTAGTAATTAACGAGTCGAAAATGTTATGTAGTTATTCAGACTAAATGTGCTTTGATCTAGGTCGCTTCATCACACAGCCTTCTCAAAATAAAAGAAGTTAGCAGAGGTTGACCCAGAGATATATTTAAGAATAGTACTGGTGATTTTTTCTCTGGAAATAGGACTAGGATATAATTATTTATGCCCATAACTTCACTCGAATAATACAATGCAGTGATCATCTTATAACGTCAGTAAAGTTTGCCAAACTTTTATCTTATTTGATTAAACAAGTCGACGTCTTACGAAACCGAGACGTTTAAACTAAATAAATATACAGTTAAGAAGTAAATTACCATCCGGTCACAAGGGATTATAAGAATTGTGAGAAAGGAATTAATAACTAAGTGTAAACACTAACTTGTCTATAAATTCGCTCCAACTCCCTTCTTGTAGAATCAGGTAGTACTGTCCTCGGTCGTCGTCTTGAGAATTTTGAGAAAACATGACTTTCAGCCTAAAATACAGACAAACAAAAATATTTAACATAAAAAAATGGTAGCGAAAGAAATTACTCGCGAACTTGGAATTGATCTTTACTATGCTTAAAATTAACCAATCTTTCAACAAGTCGAAGGAAACAACAAGCCAGTTTTGACTTATTTGGCTACTACTAGACAACTAATAAATCTAACTAGAATTCACGATCGCAGTTGGTTGTGGGATTTATAAATTTCTGTAGAAAAAAACAATGGACATAATGTTGGCTGACGTATAATAGACCTATCGAAATAAATATTCCGTCTCTCATTTTCAGTTTATATTAAATTTGAAACCTTACGGTTAGCTTAGCATTGAGTGTGATCTTAGTCTCCATCATCTGTTTATCATTTTGTTGATGTTCTCTGATTGTGCCGATGTGAGTAGCAATATGTTCTGAAAAACATTAATGCTAGGTCGTATATTGTTTAGAATCGAGTGAAATGAAATCTTATTACTTCGTAGTAATGACCCTGAACAAAGTGTTGAGCAGGCACGCATATGAAGTGCATAGGACGATCAAACTAGTTAATTATAAAAATACGCAGGTCTCTCGTGTACCAAATATGTGTGGTCTTGTATTTTTTGTTTATGTCGGGGCTACTAGCAACACTGCCTAATTCCCAGAACCGAAGGAAATGTAGTGGGGTTATGACCTACGACCTGATGGTTGGAAGCCGAGTGTTTCATTTGCTAGGTCACTGATCTACATATTTTCGTACGAATTAAAACTAGGATTCGTTTTATGGTGAAACAAACTTGGGAAAACGTCAAATGTGATAATCAGTCAACAGCAAATTATTCTCAGGAAAAAATTGTCACACTTGGTTTATTAAATGTCTTTGGGCACTAAAAAGAGCAAATCATTCGGGACTAGAACAATAATCACATTGCACAAGTAGAAAGTACGAACTAATTAACAAACCAGCTATATTCCTAAGGAAAAATATTCAGTTACCTGAGGACTTCCTTTGACTGGTGATTTCGTATCATTATTATTATTCTGAAAATCAACAACAGCTCGAATAATTTTGTCGCGACCATCAGCAGTTTCACTATCCTTTAGCCATCTTAGAATAATCGGATAAACTTTCAAGTAATTGCTTAAACTAAGATCCATTCTCTCGAAACGTGAAATCATGGATACACTACGATGTACTCCATAGAGTTTTCCAAGTGAATTTGCAACATCAGTTTGCGAAAGATCTAAAATGGATATACCCGTGTAACTTAACCAGATTCCCAGAGTTAAATCTAGTCTTAAACAAAAAAGAAACATGATACACTCCCAGACGCGATTCGGATCACAACCTTTCAGTTTAAAAGTAATGTAGTCCGAGTATTGTTTATTAATAATAATTATAATGCATAGAAAGTAAAAATAATGCACTTAGCAAGATGATGCTATCAATGGTCTACAGGCATCCGAATAGACCTCAGGGATAAGATGAACCGAGAAAAACCAGGGTGCGCTGGCCAGGTATTGAGCAATCAAACTTTTACTCCTCATCAAATCCCAAGTGGGAAAGAACACTTATCAATACTTAACTTTCTTCGCGTTTTCCGATGTAATATAATAACGGACTCAGTCGATCGAAAAGTTTGTGTTAATGGTTGATAGTGAAATAAGTCTTTGTCCAGGACAACGCGCTGATAGAAAGCTACTATGTAAAGCGGCTGCAACAAGTAATATCGCTCAGAGATGGATTTATCTTTACACAACACAGACCTGCTTGTAGATTTTACACTTAAGGTCCCCAAATACCCTTGTACGGGCGAGAGTGGGGAGAGTCTGCTCTCCCTCTCGAAACACTTTCACATGGCCACGGGTATACAGCCACTTCGAGGAAAGTCTTATTTACGGCTTTACGGTCCCCTAAGGAGACCACGCGCTTCGGTCTGGGCATCCGAGTAGTATTCCAGCCCTCACACAAGTCGAATGATTTATGTAGCGCATATCTATTTGGCGCCACCTTGTACAAATATTTATGTGTTTAAGTAAATAAATAATACTATTCGGAGAAAAAAAACTACTTCATTTCCAAAACAATTATAATTAGGGTTCGATTATATTTATCAGTTTTCAGAGTGATAATATTAGTGCACGAATCAGCAATGACAATCAGCTAGGTGAACAATAAAGTTAACCATTAAAACTTGCCAGTGCTACTAACTTGCTAATCTAAATATCCCATATATGTATTGTGACTAGACAGACTGTACTTGATTTCCTGCTTGAACCAGTAACTTACACCACACATATAACAACTGAGATATCCCTAAGCATAGGAGTAAGTCTACTGAGCAATGGTAGTTAGACCGAGATATAATTTTAAACGGAAACTCTCATCCATGTCTAGGATTGTGGATGTCCTGGTCCACGTCTTAACTAAATTTAAGGACGAATGAACTACTTCAAATATTTTAATTGTTCATCTTGGTGTAAATAATTAGTTTTAGCTTGTTTTTCTTTATCATGACTCGTTTTATTTGACTTTCATTGTTAGTCTCAGTATGACTATGTATTATTTCTTTCACCACCCTGGGCGCGCTAATGGTCAATGTGATAAATCTACTCAATGTTCTATAACCCGAAGTCCTACTGTGCTTCTTTATTTCTATGGGACAAATAGTTTCTTGTAGATCAAAAGGAGTCGAAGACAATAGTTGACAAACACTGAACATAAGTCCATAGTTTACAGGCAATCATCTTTATATTTTTAAAACCAAGCTAAATGGAACTAGTGTTTTTTTTTACTGTGTACCGTCATTACATCGCATGATATGAATAGTAGAATTTTATGCCAAAGATCATTTTCCTGTTACCTTAAGTTGGAATTTAATGACGGATACATTTATAAAAAAACACTTCAGAAATTCGGAGATGTTTTTATTCTAATGGAACTCACTCATTCCAATCCTCCTATCAGTAAATGTAGAAGAGAGTTTTTCCAACTCAACCAAATCATTAGGTCCACCAGTTGTGTGGAGATTTTCTCCATAGTTTACTTTTTGACCATAACTAAGTTCATGATACAGATTGACTTTCCTACGAGGCTAAATAAAGTAATAAACAAACTTCTACGAATATGATAGAGCCATGATTTTCAACAAACGTAGAGGAACATTTGAAATATACATTACATAACTTCTTTTTGCATACTTTCAGATCAACATAACATTGAAAAAGTAATATTACCTCAGGTGAACAAACTAAATATTTTGCTAAATAATTATATATGCATATAACTAGATACACAATACAAAGTCATACATTCGTCTGACAAACCAGTGATATTAGTTCTGTTTACAACACATAGACACATCACTAGACGAATTTCTTCGTGTCTTTTAGATTTGGGTGAATTCTCCAGAATTACTGGTTATGCATTAGAACTTACCAATACAGGAGTAAAGGTTCAAACATTTAATCTATGATTTCAAAGCCATTAAGTCACTACTCCTGGAGTTTAATAGTAACAATGGCTTCAAATAACAACCACGCATATATAGCAGGGAAGTCCTACTCACTGCCTTCTCGTGGCACCGGTGTTGTTTACGAAATTGAGAGGACAAAAAGCGAATGTCCAGCGCTTTAACCGGGTTGGTGGACATGGAAAGTTCACCTAGGAGAGTTGGAAAACCCTGATTCCAAACCAGTGGTGCACATGGGCTCCAGTATCCTGAAGGAACAAATGGCGTACGAATCAACCGTTTATCACCGGCTACCATGGGACTGCATCTCCTCACGATGCTCCACTGCCTTGTGGATCAGACATTCAGGTCAAAGGCTTGGGGTGTGGCCCCCTAAGAAAACCACCTGCTTCAGTCTGGGCACCTGGACAGTATCTCAGCCCTCACACAAATCGAATGAGATTTGTGAGGCGCATATTTATCTGGTGCTTCCTTGTACCAATATTTATGTGTTTAAATAATAATAATAAAACAACACGCATAATCTATACTTAACAGACATGATCATCAGAGGTCCGATTGCACGCACGTTGAAACAATAAAGCTACTACGTGAAGTGTTGGATCTCTCTGTCACTACAAAATAAAAATTAAAAAAAGGCCTAGCAATGGAAACATCCATTAACCGTTTACTACAAAAAATTCTAGTCATGCCGTCCTCTATCTATAGGTAGTCGAATGACCATATCACTACAGTTATAGGTTGTACATTCAAGACTAATGAAAGTTATATTTTAATAACCAGAATATGACATCAGTCTCTTTAGAAAAGAATGCATATTAACCATTAATTTTCCCTCCTTTTCCCATTTTCATTTCTTCCCATCAAGTTTCCCTCTATATATTATAGTATACTACTTACTAATATCCAGTAACTTATGTTACTGTTAATCATTTTATGTAATAGTGTCTACGGTGTCAGCTTGTTATATGTGAAATCTCTAAACAAACAACCCACTCTATCACTAAAATTGTGTTTTTTCCGCCTTTCTCAATAGTCTGTTTTCACATTAAATTTGGTCACTATGCATGTGGGCATTCGTGAAAACTTCTATATTTGGTGTACCATAGTTCTCGCCTTGATTTGCTGACTACCATTACTGATTTTGGCACAGACACATATGTGGTTCAATATGTTGATAGCATTCCTTTATGGCAGCAAAAAAAGAAACAATACGGTTCATAAACCTTAATTTGCAAGGTGTTTGCGACATGTAAGGCTTTGAAGAACGAACCATGAGAGAGTGGATTGATAAACTGAGTGACAGCATATACATACCGAAATCAGTGATCGCATGGAACAAACTAAAATGAGAACTATATAACGCCAAACATGAAAGTTGTTGCGAATAAGCTAAAGTCGAACGAAACCATATAAAATTAAAATAAACTTTTAGGAACGTTACGGGAATACGATTACAACAGTTTCATTACTGAAGAAATTTAAAACTGCTTCTACAAAAATTTCTAATAAAACTGCACCCAATCTGAAACAACTAAATTAAAACTTACACGAGGATTACTGCCTACATAAAATATTGACCCAGGAAGCAATAAAGGGCCATATTCCTGAGCTTGGAAAATTTAGAAAATAGATGAAATAATACCTTTGTTAGCAAGTCTTGCATCCATTTGTTTACTGAGTTCAGATAAAATAATTGAATCTGAACTACTCCTCAGACTATTAACATTTGATGCTGCGATAGGTACATGAACCTTTAGAAATAACTCTATTCAACTATAATAAACTTACAATACAGTCGTCAGAATTCCTGAAGGTTAAAAACAGGTCGTCTGGTTGCTTTGTGTGATCCCACGGTAACAATATATCACTTAACGATGTCATTTCATTAAAAATCAAAAGGGTCAACAAGCTGAAGGCAACAATAAAATGTTACACAGAATTGAATGCAAAACCAGATATAAACAGGGATAAGCAAACAAAATTACAGCTGGTCAAGAAAATGATGTTTAAAAGTACAGTTGTTTTGTGATTTAGCTAAAAAAGATGCCATTATGCATGAAGAACCCTAAACACACAACTAGAACAGTTATTTAAATCATGCATGAGTATTTGGTCGGTGTGTATTATTTTAGTGTCAAGTACTGAAAGGATTAATTAAAACTAGCAGTGAAGCGCAAAGACATCACAGTCGCAGTTAAAATCGACGGCACCTTAAATGTTAGACGTTCCTTAGTAACAGCCGAATTCCATGGTCAGAAAAATATTAGGTGAATCCATGTTGTACACATTAATATATCTAGACATCTAAATATATCGAAGGACCTAAGAATTATGAATAATAAAAGGCTAAATTTGATCTGTTACTCATAAATATCTTCGAAAGAGGATGGTTGACAAACTTAGAGAAGCATTACTGACATTCGAGAGTAATATAACATACAAATGAATAAAGACTATATCCGACCAATATTTGAGCTGCAGCTTTACCCAAACAACTGTATACAGTTGACGCAGGACAAAATGAAATTTCTTTCAATCGAAACAACCGAATAACAAACAGAAGCTGGACCGAAAGCATATTAAAAATCAATAAAACTGAGACAAGCGCTAAAAAATCAACATAAACACAGCAACTCAGTGCATGTGAATAAAATATTTATTCATTCAAAGTCTATGAGACGAAGGGGTGAACTGACAAGTTTCACCTACAGAACATCCCAGAACCATATAGAGATAATAGCACCATATCGCCAGTGGGAGACGAACACGATAAAGCTATATATATATATATATATATATATATATATATATATATATGGCATATTTTCTCTATATAGAGAATATTCTCTATTTACTTTAGCAATGTATATACCGTAGATGCACTTGGAGGCGTAGGTTTATCAACAAAGTCTGGGGCTGAGAAACATCCACAAAGTCGCGGACTTATTGAGAAACCGTAAGGATGTTTAATTTTGTCGTTACCATGTAGTTTGAAGTGTCTTGATGATTTATACCACGAGTTGCTTTACGTGGTCATGAGTACATGATATGGTCTTTAAAGATGGTGTGCAACCATCCATATTCTGCCAGATTCATTGTACTTGATTCATTGATTAGAAGATTACTTACCGAAATCATAAAATAACGTCACACTTGTACTTTTGCCAGTGTTCAATAGGTTAAACAGTTGAAGAACATACCATATGATGCTTCTTCTTGAAGGACTTTTGTATCCAGTAGCAGAGGATCAACGACGTTTCATGAAGGAACCTAGGCATATTCAACAAGCAAAAGTAAAATGCTAGTAAATTCTGGTCAAAATCAGCTTGATTCCTCAAGATTATGTCAAGTTTACTCTGGAAGGACTTTTAGCGGTAAATAAATCTCCAAAATCAATGGTTCATTAAGTGTTCGACATTGGATGCTGACCACGTATTTAAGGAAAGACGACCAGATGCTGCTAAACGAAGCAAGCTATCAGAAGAGTGTTTACCAGCGATAAACTCGTTGGGTTTAAAATTCTGGCTGGTCACGTCTTAGGGGCATCACTACCTCACTAGGGGGGGGAGTGATCTGTAGCTGTAAATAATTACCCAAAATCAATAGTTCATTAAGTGTTCGACATTGGATGCTGACCATGTTGTTTAAGTGGACTTGTTTAGCTGAAGGCTTTCGGTCATGCATCCGTACCAGATCACGTTTCGACTCGGCGTGGGACACTGCTCCTACGTTTCATTAGCCAGCTCATAGAAAAGGTCCTCGATATATTGGTAACGAATCAAATATATCTTTCCTGCCTCTTCTCGTCTGACTTCTGATTTCTATCTGACTGGGAACAATCGAATTTAGAAGGTGCTACTGGTATCTAGTTGTAAAAATAGAATATCCGTTGCATCATCATTGGTGAACCCGACGTGATCTGGTACACCAAGTCAATATACTGTGAGTCTGTTCCATTTTGGAATATTATTATTCATTGTTATTGTTTATTTGAATTTTATATATTGTGATATACTTTTTTTCGCGAATTTTTTTTCTCGAATATATTTTACTTAGACATTTTTCGATATCTATATTACTATGACGGAACACTCTCCTAAGGTTCTTAAGTTTAAGTCTATTCCTCCTATTTCGATTCAGTTAACGCCATTTTGGCCCGACAATATCGAGTCCTGGTTCTGCTATGCAGAAGCCGATTTTTGCATGCACGGAATCACGGACTCGCGCACACGTTTCCTCGCGGTAGTTAAGGCGTTACCGCGCGAGTTTAACAGGTACGTAACACCTAGCATGTTTACTAGTGATGTTTCCGAACCTTACGAATCACTTAAGCTATCGATTTTAAAACGAGGAGACCTAACTGATCGACAACGGTTAGACCAACTCCTTAACAATATCGACTTGCAACATGGTTCTGCGACGGACATGTTGCTTAGAATGAGAGAAGTCATCGGCCAACGAACTTTCGATGATGGCCTATTTAGACAACTTTTCTTGTCTAAACTCCCTCAACAGGTGCAGGCAGTGCTTGTTTCATTTCAAAACAATGCCATAGATGAACTAGCTGCATCTGCCGATCGAATCTTGGAAATCACTAGATCTTCTAAGGCCGAGGTTTTTTCCGTCAAGGAAAAACCCCAATCGACCTCGACTGACATGGCCGAACTATGTCACACGCTTACACGATATCTTAGAGTTCGCAATGACCGTAGTCGGTCAAAAACCCCGCGTAGAAGCGCCTCACGTAAGCGATCTGGCTCTCGCCAGTACTCGACAAATACCCCGGGATATACCAATCGCAATCGAAATTGCCTTGTGTAACCAGCAATGTTACACATCACATCTCGACTACAGGACCACCTGTATTTTCGAAAGCCCGAAGACTCGCTCCCGAGAAGCTTAGGTTAGCTAAAAACAAATTCGACCACATGATGGACCTAGGGATAATTCGACCATCGAATAGTCCATGGGCATCCCCATTGCACATGGTCCCTAAAAAGGACAGCAATGATTGGCGGCCAACTGGTGATTATCGGCGTCTGAATGCTAAAACCATTCCCGATCGTTACCCGCTGCCTCATATTCACGATTTGACAGCTACCTTGAAAGGTACAACTGCATTTTCGAAAATCGACTTGGTTAAAGCTTATAACCGAATCCCGATGGCAACTGACGACATTCATAAAACCGCCATCATCACTCCCTTCGGTCTTTACGAATTTCTACGAATGCCTTTTGGTTTAATAAACGCTACTCAAACCTTCCAAAGGTTTATAGACGACGTCTTCCGAGGTCTCAACTTCGTACATGCGTATGTTGATGACTGTCTAATAGCAAGTCCGGACAGAGAATCGCATCTCAAGCATCTGGACATTGTTTTCGATCGACTCCAAAGGCATGGCATTACTGTCAACATACAGAAATGCCAAATCGGAACAAACTCCTTAGACTTCCTAGGACACACCATTGATGCCCAAGGCATCCGACCCCTTAGGAGCAAAGTGGCGGCCATTCTGGATTACCCAGAACCGACCACGATCAAGCACATGAGTTATCCTCGACAACTCTTAAACTAAGTATTAGGCAGATGGGAACAGGTAAGGAAACCTCACTCTGTGACACATCTACAGGTAGGGATCGTCCAATTGTACCAAAACACTATCGCCGCAACTTCTTCAATACGTTGCACAATCTTTCTCATCCAGGTGCTCGTGCAACAATCGAACTTATAGCCGAACGCTTTTGTTGGCCTGGCATGAATTAAGACGTGAGGGAGTGGGCACGCTCCTGTGTAAGCTGTCAGAAATCTAAGGTAATCAGACACAACAAATGTCCCTTAGGTTCTTTCAAAACCCCTGACGCTCGTTTCGACCACGTCCATCTAGATTTGGTAGGACCCTTACCCGACTCGAACGGATACTCATATCTCCTAACATGCGTAGACCGTTTTACTCGATGGCCAGAAGCAGTACCGATTAAGGACATTACTGCTGAAACAGTGGCTCGCACTTCAAAGTTCTTCAACGCGAACCTAAGTACTATATAGTCGATAAGAACGGTACGAAAGATAGCATCAGTATCGATCGACTCAAAGCTGCGTACCTAGAAGGAAACCCTAGCTACGTCGATTTTCCTTCGGTACAAGCAAACGACACAGCTACTACACTCGTAGTACCCTACACGACAACCGACACACAACTTGATACTTCGTCAACGTCGATAGAAAAACCTAAAACAACGCGTTCTGGAAGACGAGTCAGATTTCCAGAACATCTTAACGAATATTGCACGTAGGACATAAGCTTTATCTTGAACTACCCTCCCATAGTTCATTATTAAAAAAAAATTTTAATATGATAATTTTTTATTTATATAAAAAAACCAAAAAAAACAAAACATTTTTATCTTTTTTTTGAGCGTATATATATATACTTTTTATACATAAAAAAAACCCAAAAACAGACCATTTTTTTCCGATCGCTTTTACGCTGTTTGTAAGTGTATCAGTTTATTTTTTTCCGCTCATCTTGTGTCCTTACGCAAGTACAAGTGTATTTTCGACATGCACTCACACGTTTTATTTTTCCTCTTTTCCAGGACGGCTGGAAAAGAACGACGAAGTTTCGCAAGAAACCGAAATTTTCATTGTACTATATTGCTATGTTGTACATTTTGGTCCCATAGTTTAAGGAAAGACGACCTCTCTCTCACACAGCTACAACGTAGGACCAGGCACATATATGCATCGGTCCAAGTTGCCATACCTCGTTAGCACAACAAGAGGAACACCGGATTCATAGTAGTTAATCTAGTGTTGGTAGTAGTATATAAATTATAGGTTGTATATCAGGATATAGTACAGGAAGGAAGAGAAATATGAAGCAATTTTAGTCTCAAGGTTTAAGGGAAGATAAAGAGTGTATACACCTACGCCATTGTGACCGACTCTGAGCCATGTCACCTAGAGTCTCCAACCATTGGTTACGATAGTCACGCGGACCCCAACCAGGTAGTCTGCATCTGCCAACATGGCTCAGGCTAGAAGTTAGTGACTTCAAACACTGATGCCATGTTTTGGTTTGGCCGCCCCTAACTCTCTTCCAACCGTCCCCAATACTAGTCATCATAGCGCGTCGTGGTAATCGGTGTTCAGGCATACGTAACACATGGCCCAACCATCTCAGTCGATGAAGATTCATCACCTCATCAACTGATTTACCATCGTTCCCTAATACCCTGCGTCTAACCTCACTATTACTTACCCGGTTATCCCAGCAGATGCGAGCAATATTTCTAAGGCATCTGTGGTCAAATACTAGTAACCTACGAGTATCTTCTACTCTTAATGGCCATGTTTCACAGCCGTAAAGTAGAACAGAGCGAACTGATGCGTAGTATACTCGTCCCTTAGTTGATAGACGGATATCTCGTCTACGCCATAGGTGACGTAAGTTGGCAAAAGCCAAACGAGCTTTTTGAATCCGTGCTGAGATTTCGTCTGACACCAACCCATTAGGGCTGATCAGACTTCCAAGATAAGTGAAGTTGTCGACGCGTTCGACTACTTCACTCCCTATCCTTAGTTCGAGTGTTGACGCAGGCCAGTCCTGGAGTAACAATCTACATTTGGATGGGGAGAAACGCATCCCAAACATCCTGACATTATTACTGAGTTCCAACAGAAGACTCTGCATTTTGCCAGCGTCTTCACCAAACAGGACTATGTCATCTGCGTATTCTAAGTCGCTTAGTGGTCCCCCTGGTAAGAGATCAATTCCTGTAGATTCAGTCGAAGAGAGTGTTATTTCCAGCAACAGGTCTATAATGAAGTTAAACAAAAATGGGGATAGTGGACAGCCTTGACGGACACCACTTGAGGTTGTAAAATCACATGACAGTTCGCCATAAGCTCTCACTCGACTGATAGTGTTCGAGTAAAGAGCCTCCACAAGGTTTATGTACTTCACAGGTACACCTTTCAATGACAGGCACTGCCACAGAACCTCTCGGTCTACAGAGTCAAATGCTGCTTTCAAGTCAAGAAAAACTATCATTGTCGGACGCCGATAAGCGTGTCTGTGCTCTAAAACTTGACGAATGGTGAATATGTGGTCGATACAGCCACGACCAGGTCTGAAGCCAGCCTGATTTTCTCGTGTTTGCAGTTCACGAGTCTTAGTTAGGCGCCCGATAATTATTGAGGCTAGTATTTTAGATGCTATGTTAGTCAGACTAATCCCTCTATGGTTATCGCAGGATGATTTTGACCCCTTTTTATATATTGGGACAATCAGTGATTGTGACCAGTCGGATGGGATTACATCCGTCTCCCAGATTTTAGCCAGAATATTAGTCAACCTAATCGCTAAAATTGGACCATCGTATTTAAAAACCTCTGGAACCAATCCATCAGGGCCAGCTGC